CTAACAATTATCTCGCTCCTTTGTACGCGGAATTTGAAGTATGAGGGTTTTACCGGGATTCTCCTTTAGCAAGGTTCTTTTGCTATTGCCCCCATCGTCGGAGTTGAGGCACGGCTGATGCTTAGGGGAGAGACTATAGTCTGACCGGTGAGACCACTCTATGAGTTGTTCACTGAGGTTCAGACTTTGACTTCACGATGACGATTGATGGCAAGGTCATCTGGTCGTAGTTGTTGCTTCATTCTCTTCAACCCTTCTCTTTCTCTCTGTCTCTTTCTGTTTGTTGTTTCAATGCTTTTCCGCCGCCGGGTCTGCCTAAGTAGACGGACCCCATTCGACTTAATGACTAGTCCCATGTCTGGCCAATGCGGATTGTCCGGGCGCATCACCTGAAGAATCGGGTGTGGGATGGTACAAACTCTGTTTGGCGCGGGTGCCGCTGCCAAGCGGCATCACAAGCAGATTTCCCTCTCTGTCGTCCTACATGCTGCCATGCATATACACCATTCACATACACCAACCAGACCACGACAGCGAAGGCCGCGCCGTCGGCTTTCTCAGTCTACTGGTCGGTTATTCTGTGAAGGCGGTTTCCGATGGCTTTCATGTACCAAATTCGCCAACGCGCAACCGATAATCTGCACAGTCGAGGCCGGCACTACCCACCATTTCATGTCTCCATCTCTAGACCGGACGTCTGACCGATCACGGGCGGGGCTAGCATGTTCGGGCCCTTCTCGTCCACTCACTTGACGACGATCCCACCCAGCCCTCCTCCAACATTGCATTCACACGACCACGGCAGCTCATGCAAGCCCATCCTGCCGCCCTGCCGTGGCTCGCCATGAACCTCACGCGTGGATGTCCATCTCTCCCCGGCTAGCCCAATCACGGTACACCTTCTCGTCATCTTGTGGATCTAGCCCGAACGTGGCCTGCCACCACACCTCGAGTCTGCACCCGTAGGCTCGGTCCCAAACCCCGCTTCCAACGTCCAACCCACAGCCGACCTATCTTGGAGCAGGGAGGCTATTATGGATCAAACCATGGGAGTGCCAGCCTGATGCGGTATCACACAACCGCCATGTCAGCTTCTGCCCCCAAACGGCGCCGCGGCATTCGCGGTATCTTCTCCGACTATCCTGGCCAGCACAAGCGCCCCCTCCTCCGGGCACGCCCGTTCACGCTCCACGTAATGGCGAATGATATTGCGCTTTCTCGCGAGATAGCCATCTGATTGTTAGCCGACTGTACGAACCGTACGTGGGGGACGAAGCTCCAAAACGGGTATATAAACCCCAAGACGACTCGGGCATCTCATTGCTTTTTTCTTCATCGACTCAACAAGCTCTCAACCTCAATTCCAAACAACAAACTACCACTTTCAAGCTTTTCGCTTTAAACCAACCAACTTTCAAAATGGCCCCCTGGTAAGTGGCAGTCGTCACCTCAAGACGAGCTCGAAAACTGCGAAGCAGTCTTCCAGCTCCAAGTCTCGGAAGCAGAAATTCTCAGGGCATCACAGTCAACTAACCAAATTGATATAGCTCCTGCAAGTCTTGCGGCTCCAGCTGCGCTGGCTCCTGCACCTCCTGCTCCTGCGGCTCTTGCTCCGTAAGACTTCCTTCGAACGACAGACGATCTTCACAACTAACAAATTCCAGCACTAAATCCAGCATGACGCTCCCGCATCACCATATCTGACGCCCCCATCAAAGAGGCTCGCTCGACACTCAATATCCTTCGAGCAGGGTGCCCCCCTCGAGACGGACCGAAGTCGTTTGTGACGGGACTGGAGACTGAAGGATACTGGGCAAACTGCGGAGTTTATTGCCGGATACAGTCGGCCGAAACTTGCCCCAAAGAGCTCTATGTGGAGACCGATATCCATCTGCAAGCTCGACAACTACCGGCAGTTGAGGTTCGCTGTCACGACGGGATGATGAATACGTTTTGATTTTCTCGTATGATAGTTTAGTTTTTTGGAATTTGACTACGAGTGCTTTTGATCCCGGGAAACCTCAGAGAATCTCCATTCTTCCTGTCAATGAGTGATTTAAATTGTGATTATGCTCGCACTTGTCATGTTTGTTTCTTTCGAGGTGGGGAATCGGAGCTCCAGTCTTGCCCGTTGGGATCCATCTTCTCCAAAGAGCCAAGTTTGGAGGTGTGGGACTGGCCATGCATCCTGGCGAGTACCTCGGGACTTTTCAGCAGCTCCAGTATGGACAGGCGCCGGGTGCTGGGAGGAGCTTCTTCGATCGGGGCTGAGAGGACTTGGATGTGGCAGCTCGGTGTTGGGCTATTGGCAATGCCCGTCCCCGACGCGGATGCCGTCGGGGCATATTCCCCCCCACGTGCGGACCAGCCTGGGATGGAAGTTTGGTTGACTGGCAGGTACCTCAGACATTGTTCGTGCGGGGGGCCTTTGGATTATTTGCATGAGGTTGTGATTGGGTGGGGCGACACCGGATGGAGGTGAGGATTGGACGGGCTTGCTATCGGGTGAAGTCAGGATTGGATGAGGTGCGGGAGAGTGCGGCGAAGCTGTCAGCTGATTCGGACGGCGGAGATCGGGAGGTTGGGTGGGTGCGGTTTGGAGCTTCCATCCTTGGGGGAGGGTTGGATCTGGAGATGCGGCGAGGAGGCGAGGAAGCATCGGCATGACAGCTTCTCAACTTGTTGAAGTGTTTGGTAGATGAGATATATGTCGAGATTTCACCTCACCTGCGTGACTTTTCGACGATTCTAGAGGCGTGGACTACAAAGTTGTGGACTCATCGAGGGATCTGGATTACCTGCTGGTGGGCTCAGTGCTATCATAATATGAATGACTAGAGAAACTTCCAAAATAATCAGAATAAACAACGTATGCGCTCTATCAGTAAGGATGCCGTGAAACCAGAATCATCATTTCGGAAAGGGGTTAAAACGAACCTTGATGGTTCTGTTAATAGGGGAATCCAGTTGGCACTGTGTCAACTATCGTTTTGCTGCACTGAGGACAGTGCGAGACGGATCATACCATGCTGGAACACTGTCTTTATATGCCAATGCCGTTGCCCCTATCCCAAGTTTCCTCAGACAACAACACTTGGCAAAGTGTCGAATAACGAGAACTCTGAACACTTCCATTCAAAATGAAATATCAGCCCAAGTATGCTTTTGTACTGTTTACTCGATGGAAATGTGTTCTACTAGTTCCTTCTTGATGGACTAGGTAAGGAGTCCACCACCGACGATGGCAAAGAAGCAGCCGGACGAGGACACCTTTCGATAACACCAACCTCCTCGACACCCTTTATCATTCGAGAATTTTGACAAATCCGCGACGCAATTTATCGAAAAGAGACTCTGGGAATCTTGTAAAACGATCGGGCGATGATGGTCTTTAGAACTCTCTCAGGTTAAGCGGTTGTAGGAGCCACAGAACGAACTGGATAGAAACGCAGCGTGTATGAGGCTGTATTGGGCCCAACCGTATAATGGTCTTTCTTAAACACTTTAATTGAAGTAGGCTAATTAATAACCAACCTAGACAACCTCTTCGATGAATGTCGATTCGAAGTCGATGATGCGCCTCAATACCTCGAACCACGACCGAACGACGAACGACCGAATCTGAATTCAAGTCAAGAGAGATCTGACCCAAACCCTCGTCGAGTTCCGATTCATTAAATCAAAGCACGCTTTTCACGACAATGCTGTGCTTTGCTTCGTCAACTATGTCGGGCGCCTACACGACCGAGCTGGCGATTCACCCACGTCCAGCATAAACGTCGATACTGCCACGACATCAACGCTTGAATAGAGCCCGCCGTCATCGGAAAGCTAATCTAAGCTTCAATGGAAGCCTGTGCTTTCCGCGGCCTGCGCGGGGCTTGCTTCGCTGTCACGTCTCCACGATCCACCAGACGCGCAAGGTAGATGCTGGCGGAACACCATGACAGCCCCGACAAGTGCCACGGCACATCGAGAACTCTACCGCTCTGCCTTGGCCGAAATGCCGATAGGGCTGCGATGACGCGATCACATGTTCATCGCGTGTTTCGTTGTCGTTGGTGCCCAAGGGGGATCCCGGACCGGCACGTCGAGCGATGGGAATAGTGTTTTGAAGGTGTGGTTGGCGACTGTCATGTCGGCTGAAGCACCTCCTTTCGTCTACAAGGGCCGGACGGGACGGGACGGGTGGTGTAAGACGTGTAGGCGTCAGACACGGGGCATGCCTCGCATGAGGATCGCGATTGGTGCTGGGCGTATGCGGGTTTGAGAAGATTGGGAATGGGTTGCAGCGAGCGCGTCTTGCCATCTGCACGGAATGTGATTTGGAGATCTGATAAGCTCTCTGCGAATGCTCGACTTGGCTGTAACATTGTCGAAGTCGACGGGTATTGCATAATCATTTGCCATGCGTACTATAGCATATGGGGACTTCCTGTTTAACGAAAGCATTTCGCAGCCAACAGGTGACCTAGTATCCCGCTCGGTCGGCTTGTATTGAAGATGCTGACTCGATATTCGAAGGAACTCCAAGCACCTATCAAGGGCATCATGTCTGCGAACGAGAGCACGCGTGAAAACCCAAAGAGGATGGTTCTCTAAAGCTCTTTGAGAGCTTTGTCGACGAGTGTTATCGTCAAGAACTCAAATCACATCGTAATTACCCAGTCGGTTGCGAAAAATAAGTTCCTAGTTTGGAATTCCAGTTCACTATGTCAATGAGTCTTCTGATGTACATTCTCTTGCAACTTTCAATTCAGACTCTATCACCAGTCTCCAATCAACATTGGACCCTCCACGATCTTTTTGCAGTCATTAATCAGCAATAAGCCCCAAGGACGACCTACCAGCCAGAATGTGCTTTTCTATGCACGCGACCGGAGCCTGCAGCACCCCCGCCGACAGAATTGTTGGCCGACTTGTGCAGGAAAAATTGACGACTACTTCTGAGGCGCAGCCGAATTCTATGTCGAGTATCCTCACCCGAAAAGCAACAGGACATGGAGGTCGCAGGTCTGGCAATCGGAGTCGTGGGGCTGGCCGGCATCATCGGCACCTTTCGCAGCGTGATCGACCTCTTCGACCTATTCGCAGCAACGAAGTCACTTCAGCGCGATGCTGCCCTGCTCATGACCAAACTTGACATCGAAAAGTTCCTTCTTCTACGATGGGCTGCAACGGTCAAGCTGGTTCATCAAGATTACGACGAACGCCTCGACAATCCCGAAAATCAAAAGCTGATTGCGCACGTTCTGGCGTGTATCCACCAACTCCTCACCGATGCGAGCGAGCTCAGTGCCAAGTACGGCGTTGAAGAGGTCACCACCAGCGAGCCATCTACGGACCTTTTGGCCTTGGACGAGGCTTCGAGTGTCAGCGAGACACAATCGAAGACCTTTTTCGAAGAGCTCAGCCAGTATCGGTCCCAACTTGCCGGTCGTAGAACAGGCCGTCAACAGCATGGTCTTCGAAAACGCGTTCGATGGGCTGTACATGACAAGGAGCTGTTCCAAGGTCTGATATCAGAATTGGCCTACTTTGTAGGCAAGCTTGGAGAGGTTTTATCAGCCGGGAGCAAAATCTCTGAAGCCAAAACACAGCTCAAACTGGACGAACTCACAGATGCACGAACGTTGCGACTAATCATGGACGCTTCGAAAGGGCATCACCATACTATTGCTGAGGAGGCAAGCATAGCATGGGACAAGCTCCGGAAAAAGACAATCATCAATGCGCTTTGGTTCAGAACATTGCTTGAGAGGAAACATGCCATCGAAGCAGAGCACGAGTTGACTTTGCGGTGGGTTTTGGAACCGTCCGAGTATCACAAAAGCCATCTCTGGGATGACTTATCCCGGTGGCTTCAAGAAGGGCATGACATCTACTGGGTATCGGGGAAGGCTGGCAGTGGAAAATCAACTTTGATGAGGTTTGTCGGGGAAACCCCTAAAACCTACAACCTTCTGAAGCAATGGCACGGACAAAAGCCATGTCATGTGGCGACCTACTACTTCTGGGGCTTGGGGGTAGTGGAGCAGAACACTCTGCATGGCCTGGGAAGGTCTCTTCTCTACCAACTCTTGTCGCAAAACCCAGACCTCATCCCGGATGTGTTGCCTGAGATGTGGATGGAACAGGAAGTTCTTGACAGTGGCATCGGTTCTTTAACACTGCCACCCTTGGCCGAAATGAGCAGGGCGCTTGACAACGTAGGCAGCCTTTTGCACGGCAAGGGAGAGAGGGCTTTTCTATTGATCGATGGTCTCGATGAGCTTGTGGGAACAAATTACATCGACGTTATTTCCTTCATACAGCGTCTGACAAAGAATGAGACCGTAAAAGCCCTCGTCTCAAGCCGACCAATTCCGGATTTCGTGGCTGCATTCAGCAATTGCCCAAACCTGCGGTTACAGGACCTCAACAGAGGAGACATCGGGAACTATGTCCAGGATGTTATTGCAGGGCATGAGTACATGAGAAAGCTGCTTGAACGTTCCCCAGATCAAGCCAAGGAGATCATCTCAGACTTAGTCGATAGGTCTTCTGGTGTCTTCCTTTGGGTAGTCCTGGCTTGTCGTGCTCTGCTATGGGGATTTTCCGACTTTGATCGGCCTCACGAGCTTCGTCAGAGAATCAGCGAGCTACCACCTGAACTCGAGGAGATGTTCAAGATGATGATGGAAAAGGTGGATCCTCGTCACCGCCAACAGGCAGCCAGGCTACTGCGAATCTGCTATACGAGCCACAGGGAAACCCCACGTCGAGAGATTTCGGAAGGACCTTGGACGAGTAGTGATGTATTCGCATTATCTCTGGCTCTCGTAAGTGATTACGACTTGGAGCCAGTCAGAGTTGCACCTCTCACTCTTGCCGAGAGGCGTGATTTATGCGAGAGCATGGAAGGGCGCCTACGAAGTCGAACTGCCGGTCTCTTAGAGCTCACGAAAAGAAGTCGTCATCAAGGTGTGGGCTGGGCGGGATCCGGTTGCTTCTGCGGCGGGACCAGAGTCGAAGACCAAGCCATCATACACGACCCCTGGATTGACGCGAGAGTCGACTTCATCCACCGCACTGTTTTCGAGTTCTTGTCACAAGAGCATGTCTGGAATCTGGATTGGCTGGTACTTCGCAACGAAAAGTTCAATCCGGCGACTGCACTCTCGCTAGGAGGCTTGCAGCTTTCTCTACAGAGTCTCAGCCTTGACAGAGAACGTCTCTACGATGGTGTGATATTGCTACTTCGTGACGCTATGGCATGGGGATCGCAAGCAGACAAAGAAATGCCACGCTGTCGAGACAACATATTCTGGAATATCCAACCTTTTCTTGACCTGCTTCATAACCGCAGCAGTGAAGGGGACGAAGAGGTTATCAAACCAGGATGTCTGTCAGACCTGATATTCAGTTATCAACACGAGCCACGGAACAGGTACTCACATGCTGCCCTTCAGTTCGCTATTCGTGGAGGATCAGTCAACTACATCAAGTCACACCCCGAAGCTTGGAAGTTGGCCAGTGCTCTGGCTAAGGAAGCCTCGCCGAAATGCGGGTGCCTGCCACTTCTCAGCTACGCCGGTGACATACAGCTAAACGCCGGAGGCTTCAGAAGCAACCATATTCTTCTTAACCACTCGCCGAAAATGGTAGGACTTCTGCTTTCTCTGGGCTGCGACCCCAATGGCGATCTCTATCCTACAGGTGACAGCAACGGGGACGGCGAAGGCGGCGGCGTTCTCGAAGCTCGAACGCCCTGGACGGCTTGGTTGTGGAGCGTGTATTTTCAACTAGGCTTGAGCCCGGGTATGCCAGACGTTTTAGAAAGACTGGAAGTCACGAAGCAGTTTCTTGAGGCTGGAGCATCTCGAGATGCACCTGACATAGATCAGCTGAAAAAGAACCTGGCTCATCTGGTTTATTCCGACGCATCAAAGGAGATCCGACATACGGCAGTGATCGTATTAGAGCGCGTCTTTGGCATCAAGTAAGGTTTCTCTCTGTGTGGCTTAGAAATGGAGATGTTACATGAGTTTGGATATTTAATGTTTCAACTCGGTATATCGGCTTGACAATGTTGGGGCGGGAAGATGAAAAAGGCTGAATCTATTCTTACCGTGTCACTAAGAAGCTTAAGGATGATAGAGAGAGGCTCCTATTGAATAGATGACAATTGCATTGGTGCCAGTACAGTTTGAAATGCAAGCGCACAAGTCCAAGATTGTAGCATCACGGTCATTACCCAAGCCTTTCTTTACGCCAACCAACCTCGGCTGTATTAGTAAATACTGGGACGAGATAGCTAAGAGTACAATCCTTACTGAAATCATGGCCGCAGCAACGGTCGTAGCCGTAGTTGTCTTTGTGGCTTGCTTACCAACGCTATCACCAGTAGCCTGAGGGGCTCTGAATCTACTCAAAGAACTTGAAGCTGAAGCCCGTATTGCTTGTATCTCCTGGCACGTTCTGTCGAGTGTAGGCCGTGTTGCTCCACCAAACGTAACTACCAGTGAACCAAGCCCGGTTGCCCCAGTTGTACTCAGTACCCTTCTCCACGCCGTGAAACACGAAAGGAATGTGGTTGGTGCCGCCTGGACTCTTGTTCACGTCGCCATCAGGGAGCGCAAATGTGTGATGTCCAGGTCCATCGATGTAAAGGGTCTCATCCCAGCCGTTCATCATCCTGTCCTGATGAGAGCCGAAAAGGCAGCCATTTGACTTGTACCAATCCCACACGTAAGTTGGGTCGCCACCCTTACGTAGTCGAAGGTCTGCTAGGCAGTATTTGTTGTTCCAGCTGCCATTTGCTGAGTAAACGATGTGCAGTTGGCCGTTAGGGTCAACGATGACTTCAGGTCCCTCGTTGATAAGGGGACTGTCGCCCTGCTCCCATGGCTCTCGGGGTTGAGAAATGATGTATCGTCCACCGGTGGGTTTTGTAGGACTTTCCATGCGGCAGATGTACAGGTTCTGTTCCGAGTTCTGGCTTTCGCTCGCCCAACCAGACCAGACAAACCAGCCTTGACCCTCGAAGACAAAGAAGGCACCATCAATAGCCCACTGGTCATCGGGCAAGGCGAGCTTTGACTCGGCCGAGTATGCACCAATAGGGGAGTCTGCGCTTATGACGTACATGCGATGCGCCGCACCTACGCCGTAAGAGAAGTAGATGAAAGTCCGGCCTTGGTCGGTGGTGATTTCTGGAGCCCAGACCTCACCTCTATTGGCGTTGTTAGACCAGACTAATTCTCGACGAACATCAGAGGCACCAAGACGCTCGATGGACGATGCTTCGCGGACCCAAATCCCCCCTTCCGCTGACTCGGCAGAGTAGTACGTGTTACCGACTTTCATAATGGTGGGATCGGCGCCGGTCCGGAGCCTGACGGCCAAGGCGCAGTCGGCAAGGAAGAAAAGAACAGCACTGATAGCCAACAGAAAGTTGGCCGACCGCCGTCGGATAAAGTTTGTTGATGCGACTGACATGTTGAGTTGCTTCTGATTGATATATGCTGGGTATACTTCACCTCTTGCCCTTCCACTAGCGGATCGCTCTCCTTTTATGAACTCTCTGAAAACCTTTCTGATAGTCCTTCCAACACCGAGCTCATCGCTAGGGACATTACCTGTCTGTTAGTTCGTGCAGATCTACATCCTGTCGTGACCTCAGTCTCAATATTTCCTGCTGGTCGACTGAGCTGGCACCTTGGCGTGGCAAAACCGTGATTCAGGCCCTGCTAGGTCAGGCGACCTGGTACTTCCCAAATCAGATAATTGGTCGTTTTGAAAACGACCCTGAATGCTGCGAAAAGTGTAAACATCGTGATTGGCAAGACCAAGACGAAAACTCCTAGCCAGTTGGCCCGGGATGGTGGGGGCTAAGCAGTGAGCGGCAGCTTACCCTCCAATTGAGATACACCCAATCCCGCGACGATGCTCCAAATCCCACATGCGTTATTCGGTCAGCAGGTGTACGAAATGATGTACGTTGCATTATTCACAGCCACTCCCGAGAATCCCTCCGACGCTCCTGACTAGTTCATGCTTGGGTTGAGACATACAGACGAATAGTTTTGATGCGGCTGGCTTTGTACTCACAACTGGAAGGAGTGATTGGGATGATGGCTGAGTCAAGTTGGGCAGTCAAATGGGACTAAACCTCTTGGTATTGCTTAGCAGCTTCCGTCTTTGAGGTTCGTGTGTTACGTTATATTTTAGCTGATCCTATGAGATTGACAGTCTTGATACGAGAATGGGCTGAACGTGTGACAGCATCCAGCATATGCCGAAGCAGGTTTCAATGCATGCAACGATAATTCAGAGTGGGTGAAAACAAATGACATCTTCAATGTCGTATACGTAGTCATCTACTGCTACCAAACCAGCTAAGTGAGTTGGGTGTCATCTGAGCTGTAGGAAGGTTCTTACCGTCTTGATCAGATGGGTGATGTAGCTGTAGGCTGGATGTATACATACTGTCGGAGTTTTCGGCCGGCGGTTCATCAGTCTAAATCCTGGGCTCTTTTCAGACTTTCCTCGGACCTTTGCCTCAAGGAGAAAAAGCAAAAAGGAAAAGAATCCTAGAAGAGTGAAGAGCGGTTCTTCCATCGTCGGAAGTAGTTGATGAGGCCGAAATAAACTTCACGCTCAGTTTCGAGGGGCGTCGTCGCTACTTCAGGCGGTGGTGATATTTTACTCGTTTTCAAAATACGTCGCATGAATTCAATTAGTAGCATATTCAACAACGAGATTTTGTGGCTTTCCACTGTGTATTATGTTGAGTTTGAATTCTATGGGTCTAACACGTGTCTGTGAGTCTTTCTAACCTACACTGGATGTGAAGACTTGTTACAACGCATGAAAGGTCTCGCAGCTTATGAAAGAACTAGAAGAAAACATGCTAAGACGTACAATTAGCTACCAAGTCTACTATTCATGCATTTGTAATATTCATGCATTTGCTCTCTATCATGGTATGTAGTAGACTGCCGAGGCGGACACCTCATGCCTCATAGAGGTTTACAGCAGGCGTTAACTACTACTACAACAAAAACAAATTCTTTCTTCCTTGCCTTCACTTCTGATGTTTTATTCGAATCAATATCTTAGGATAATATGTGTTGTTGATTGAGTGAAGCTCGCGCATACGTCGGCCTAAGCCAGAGACGAAGTAAATTCGCAGCCATCATGTTTCACGCAATCCGACATAGGTCTCATCCAAACGATTTCTAATACACTTTATAGGTTATCATCTGGTATGATCGAGAAATATTCAACTACTAGCAAGCAGGTGTTTCAATGATGCTTGACAAAGCACTTGCTGATTTGAGACCCAGAACGACACGAACTTTTGTTCACATTACTATGCATATCATTTCTTCCCAAATAATGTTACATAGACGATTAGGTGGCAAGACGACCTCCTCAACACGCCTCTCCGAGTCTTCGACTCCTAATCATTCCCACGAGACATCATTGTATCCCTGAAATGGCGATAATCTCGGATCTTCTCCCGAGACCATTTCTTGGGACTGGAACGCGAATTTAAAAAAGGGCTTCGACCTCGATCTTGCGCTCTGATTAGCCACCCAGTTTGAATCGAAACAAAGCCTTAATTGACGTCAACCAATCCTCCACCGCATCGGAGAGGTCAATCGAAGCTTCCAAGCCTCTCTGCGCTCGGTTCAGATCAAGAGCGATCCCAACTCCTTCGACCGTAACACACGCTCGAAACACGAGACGGGATCTTGTGTCAATTTGAAGGTGATCACCAATACAATTCCTAGTGTCGGTTGCTCTTTCGTGTTACGGCACGCTACTCCAGTCCAATTTCGCACCTTATGATACTCGAAAACGCATGAAGGTTTCGAGCAGAGAGAAGCGGAGGCGAAGCTCTACGATGGTTCATTCGAACAAACACGAACAAACAATCATATTGGTAGAGGCTGAGCTAGCACACGTAGTCTAGCATATTGGCGGTTGGCGCGCATAGAAGGCATCGCGATGGCTTTTGACCATACTAAAAGCGGAACGATCAAGTGCGGGGACTGTCTTCTACGCCCTATGGCCCCTCAGACTGGGAGCTGGACCTGACGCGTTGATATGGTCGAGAATACAGTTTCAGTAGCCGCCCGCGCTCTCAAAATGGTTGCTTGAGCGCATATCAAAGTCTCCTTTTGGTAGAGTGCAGTGCTCCCGAGTCTCAATCCTTCAAAACAGTGACGATCCCGCGTTTCGAAACGTGGGAATGGTTACATAAGTAAGATGGACGTTGGAATAAAGTATGCGAGAGCATGACTCGCCGCCTATCAACAGCTTCGAAACCACCTCGTGTTTTGTGCTGCAGCGATGTTTGCGACGTCCCCCTCTCAATGCTCGAGGATTAGCAATATTCGCTACCAAGATTACTCACGCCACGAAACAACGTGATGAATAAATAATTCAGTCGGCATTCTGCCCGTGACGTTGAATCTGGCCAATGTCACAACTCGAAGATCCCGGATAGGGGCCCAAGGGTCCAGAGCGGGCCCGGAGTGGATAGACAAACGTAACAACAACTACTGAATTTTCATCCGCCGTCTGATTTGAAGCGGAGGTGCCGGAAACAGTAACACCTTTCCATCGTCAATTGTGTCAGAAAAATCTGGCTCCGACGATGGAGTTGCCAGGTTCTTTGTTTGAAGTGGCGCGGACCAGCCCGGATGCGAGTGAGTCAATGGGGCAAGTGTGATGAGCTGGAGAACATGGGCGATGGGAATGTCCAGTCCTTTTAAATCGTTTCCTTCCCTTGAACATCTGCCGGCGAGAACCGTACCTACACCCTGATGAACGAAGAGTCCGGGGCCCCTCAAAGTTAATCGCTCGCTGCATGCACGAGGCTGATGCCAATCCCCACCACCACACGAACCTGCATATCGGCCTGAATCATCCGTTGGCCTCCTCTCTTCATGTTCGGACGCTCCACCGAGCACGACCCAGTTCCCCCGTTCCCCAACCTTTTTGTCCTTTGACACGAAGCTCTGAGGGGTTCACGATCTGAGGCAAATCGCAAGAAATCATCGGTCAATTCGAGTCAGATCTCGTTCATTAGGATCTCACCTCCAATCACCATGGGGAACGAAGCTGAAGCTATGAGGGCACCCGCCGACCCTGAGAGTCAGGCGAAAAGCGAAGCGCCCGCTGGTTCCAAGACGGTACAGGACCAGCCCCCATCATTCCCATCATCGACAAACATCGCTGTCGACGATGATGAAGCTGAGTTGATTAACTTCAAAACACTGAACTGGCTGTGAGTCATCCTTGAATCTCTCGTGATATCCAATCATGGGCTGACATCGTTGCAGTCAAGGAGGAATTGTTCTCGTGGCAGAGACGGTGTCTCTGGGAATCCTTTCCCTCCCATCGGTGCTCGCTACTGTCGGTCTTGTACCAGGCGTCATCCTCATTTGCACGATCAGTGCGCTGGCTACCTACTCTGGCCTCCTTCTCGCAGAGTTCAGGAAACAGTACCCGTTCGTCCAGAACTTCGGCGACGCGGTCGAGCTCATTGGAAAGCCAATTGGGATGGGCGGTGTCTTCCGGGAAGTTTTTGGGTGGGCTCAGACGATCCTCCAAATCTTCCTCATGGGCGGCCACATTCTCTTGTGGACTATTTGCATGAATACTCTCACGAACAGCACAGTGTGCACTGTTGCCTGGGCGGCAATTGGCATGATTGCCTTCTGGCTCTTCAATATCCCGAGGACGCTCAAGTACACAAGTTGGATGTCTGCAGCTTCTTGCATTTCCATCGTCGTCGCTGTCCTCATTACCGTCGTCGCAGTTGCCATTGAGAAGCCTATCGGTAGCGCAAGCATCGACATCTTCCGCAAACTCGGCTTCTCTCCCGCATTCTTGGCTGTCACCAACATTGCTGGAGCCTTCTCCAGCCATTCGATCTTCTTCACCGTCATCGCCGAATTCAAGAACCCTGACGACTGGCCGAAAGCTCTTGCTTTCTTGCAAATCACGGACACCACTCTCTATATCATCTCGGCTGTCATCATCTACGTTTACACCGGGCCCGACGTTCCCTCTCCGGCCCTGTCCGCTGCAGGAAGTGCTACGATCCGCAAGGCGATTTGGGGCGTAGCGATTCCCACAATTGCTATTGCTGCCGTCATCTATGCGCATGTTGCTTCGCAATATGTATTCACCCGTATTTTTGGCAACACCAAGCATGCTGTCAGGAGGACTAAGCTATCAACTGTTGCCTGGCTTGTCATTACCTTGGCTATATGGGGAATTGGCATGGTCATTTCCGAGTCTATTCCGGTTTTCAACAATCTCCTGGGCCTTGTGTCTGCTGCTTTTGCCAGCTGGTTTTCATTTGGATTGCCGGGTATTTTCTGGCTATGGATGCACTACGGCAACTGGTTTTCAGACTGGAAGCAGAAGACTCGCTTTGCTTTTACGTCGCTTCTGCTGGTTGTAGGCGTCGTCATGTGTGTGCTTGGTTTGTGGGTCTCGATTGAGTCTATCGCCAGCGCATCAGGCTCAAAACCATGGACTTGCGCCAGTAATGCGGCGGAGTAAAACCTGTATTTAATTTGGGGAGATTTGACGATCGTCCCGTGTCTTAAAATTATGTTTCTCGTTTCTGAAAATGCGTTCCAACGGCCGAACTTGGCTTTTCTAGCCATGCATGCATGCATCAGAGAGTCGATTGCTGACAGACAGTGGTGAAACAGAAACACTGGTGGGCAGACAATGAGATCCAAAGAGGTTCGGCTGGACCCGTAGCGGAAAGCCTCAATATTGCCCGCAATAATACGTCCTATGACGGTAAGAACTCCTACTGATGTTCCTTCCTGTCTCGTGGGATATTGATTTCACGAATCAACCAAGCCACTGGGGTGCCTCTGTGAGAAACGTCTGATCCCTGACGAACGTGAATTTGATGTAAACGGCCGTACCGTTTTCCGTTTTGCATGGCAACGTAAAAGATCATTTCGTGATGATAAACTTGGAAACTGACTTGGAAGTTTTCATCCGCATGTCGTATTGAATGTCTCAGCTGATACATAGGGCAGCTTCCGTAGTTGGACGCCCAAACAGATATCTGTTATGACCCTTCATCAAGCTAAAGCGACGTAAGCGGAATTATTCCAAGACACATTTGTGTGAAATAGACATGTCTTGAATGTCCGATTTCAACTTCGGGTCTCAATTCAGGGTCCAATAACATTGCTTTTCGCAGCTCACATCATAGTTGCTTATTCTCTGTCACCTTGGTCCCACAATTGATCAGCCTCCATGTCAAAATGTAGAGATAGAATGGCTAGTCATATGTTGTGGAACTGGCGAGAATCTGTTATCAGAAAGGACTGCTGATTCCAACGCCGGAGCGCATAGAACGAAAGATATGTGGAAGTAAGACATTCAATGTTCTGCTACGGTATCTACATGTGGAGATTACGTATTAAGCGCATGAAACTCATTTACCCGTGCAAAGAAATAGTACAAAGTAAATAGTGAAAACATTATGTTCGTTACATCGTCGATGCCCAAGCATGTGCAAGCAGTCTCATCCAATCCCAAGAAAGTTTGTACAAATCATATGTGCGGATACCGTTCTTACCAATTATGTCTCGGCCCAGCCAAAACTGTGAGATAGAGCATGTTCAAAGAAGGAGAACAGCAAGGGCAGCAGCCACACCAGCGCCTGAGAAGGTCATCATGGCAGCGCCACCAGTAGAAACGGAGACGGGCTTCATGGAAGTAGAGTCCTCGGTAGAGCTCTCCTTGCCCTTGTTGCCGTCCTTGTCGTTGTTGCCCTTGCCGTTGTTGGGCTTGCCGTTGTTAGGCTTGCCGTTGTTAGGCTTGCCGTTGTTAGGCTTGCCGTTGTTGCCCTCCCTGCCACTGCTGGTGCCGTTGCGGTGGGCAGAGCCAGTGGGAGCGGCGGCACCAGGGACAGCGGCCTCAGTAGGGGTGAAGCCGCCAGCGGGGCCGGAGCCGGGAGTGCAGGCCTTGCCCGAGCACGACTGAAGAGACTCCTGCATCTGAGTAAAGACCTGGCCGAAGTGAGAGATCTCGTCGCCGCCCTTGCCACCCTGGGGGAACTTGGTGGAGATGGTGGTCATCAGAGTGTTAACGTTGCCGGCTATTGTCTTTGTTAGCAGTTGAATACGTCCCGTTAAGTCAGGATTTCTTACAGATTTGAGACACCCAGTTCAAGGTGCTCTCGCAGATGCAATTCTGGGCGTAGAGGGAAAGCTTGCCAGTGATGTCGTCGAGGAGCTTGTCACCAGCGGCGTTGAGCTTGTCAGAAAGGGGCTGGAAGGCGATGGCCTCGTCCATGGACAGGGGCTGCATGGCAGCAGCGTTGTCGGTGGCAGTGCGGATGATGGTGAGCATCTTGTCGGAAGCCTGGACGAGCTCCTGGCCCTGACCGCCGCTGTAAGCGACGCAAGTCTGGTCCAAGCTCTGGATACCAGCCAGGACAGTCTCCATGATGGTGTTAACATTGCTGAGTTGGCGGAGAGAAAGCTCGGCGGCGTTGGGCGCGGCGAAAGCACCGGCAGCGAAGAGGGCAATGGGGGCGAAAGACTTCATTTTGATTATGGTTAAGGGTGAGGGAATTTGGAAGTGAAAATTTGATCGAAAAGTTGATTGAAGACTTGATTAAAAACTTGAGTGAATGTTGTGTGAAGAAGGTAAAGAGATGAAGATGAGACTGCTTGATGCTGGATGCTGAATGATGCTGTTCAAAAGTTCTGATATCGGCGGTTCAAACCCAACGTTATATATCCCAAATTTCTCATGCCTTCCTCATTTTGATGTCTTGATCGCTAGGACTGCTCTTCAGCCTCCCGAGCAACATACCCCGGATAATCCTGGTTGGCAGTCAGCCATCACACGTGTGCGGACTACGCAAAAGATGCGATAAGGCGGAGACTAACACATCTCAAACACCGCCGACGCCCTGTGCTACCTTTTCCAGTTCTTTTTTTCCCCGTTGCTCCCAATGCTCGGACGAGAGCACAATCTGAACACCTTCAATTCCAGGGCACGGCAAATAGTCAACGGCGCGCATTGTGACACCGCCCCGGCCTGCGCTAGCTAAGCCGTTGCTTTTTCGACAGACCTAGCGCGAACCAGGCGCAATGGAACAGGAACGCGCAAATCCTTCTCTATGAGAGTCAGCCGCTGAGGAAAAAAAAGGGACTCCTCTAGACGCTAATCATGCAGGTTTAATGAGCTCACCCAGTCTTCCTTGTTCAAGAGGCTGCGATGTCTGTTGGTCGAGGGCCCTGCGGCCAAGGCGTCCCAAAGCGCCTGCAGCCCAACCTCTCCCGCCCTGGCAGCTGTCTTTGCGGATGATCAGCTTTTGCTCAGATGGTTTTCAGCTGGTGCAAAGACCGGATCGCCCACCTTGTTCAGCATGACACTGGCCGGACAATGATCCAGTCTCTTGGCGTTTTCCCGGTTCTAGACCTAGAACTACGCGGAAGTTTCCCTCGCTCAGACGGCTCACTCGGCTGTCGGAGTTGGGTGAACATTTCAAACGCACTTGATCAGCCCAGCCAGGGTCAGGGTCGACAGCTTATCGGGCCATTCTGGAAGCATTCGTTGCAAATGAGCAGTGCACAATATTGTGCTGTTACTAATGATTAGTGCAGTAGCGCATCGACCGCCCGGCCGCTCCCGCTATCCGGCTCCCCTCCACGTCCCCTTCGGACAAACGGCCTTCCGTTATGGAGAAGCAGTAAGTGCTGTCCGGCCGGAGGACGCGAGTCCCTCAAATCCCCTTCACTCGAATAGGAAGGGATCTATCGTTATCGGGCATTTGGAGAAGTCAAGGGCCAAATTTCCCTTTCTCCGAAGTGCCCCGTCTAGCGATCCATTGATTCCACAAGGGAGCTGCGGTGTTCGGCGTACTAGATCCGAACTAGCCACACATGATTTCAACGTCTTTTCCATTATGAAACCAGATCCGCGAGGCTTTCATCACACCAGCCACGATTCGTAGACCCAAATAACCATCTGGATTCTGCATTACGCAGCCGTCCTAAGGTCTGGGGTTGCGCAGCTGCGCTGCGGCTGGATTACGCCTCGCCCATCGGACGACGAGAAATCCCCAACGGAGCTTTTGGTGACAAAATGCGGCATTGCACCCTCAATTGGACCTCTATGCATGCGGCCTGCAACTACCTGCGCAGCTTACACGTACTTGATGTGCGAATTGACCCGGCAGCATGGCCCTAGTTGCTCGATCCTTCCCGAATCCCTCTCACACCAGCCACTAGGATATGAAGCAACTTTCGGGCCGACACAATTCTAGATTTTATTCGAATCGGGTGACGTACACCTTCTTCTATCTGTGTCTTCTAGAAAGTCGCTTTATAGTGCAGACCAAAGATGCCGCTGACTTTGAAGTTGGCGTCTCAAAGATATTTTTGTCTTATCAGTGCTCATGGACCGTTACCATAAGAAAAGAAAATGAGAACGTAAGATGCCACATTTCCTGTGATCTGGGCTTTCGAGTCATCAAAATGTTCCCCAAGCAATTACGCGTCCAAGCTAATTGCTGTTAACAGAGTCCGCAATATATGAGCATGCGCAAGAGTAGTCCCAAGAACTTCAGCCAAGTATCGCAAGCCATGGAACAGATCTGCAGGATCGGGGCGTTCCCAGATGTGCCGGACTCACCAAATCCGATCATCCCGGCCATCCGCTCCGCCGCCGATGCCGCAATGTGGGCCTTCGGCATTTTCGTCGACTCAGTGTGGGGCCACTCCGGCGCCGACGTGTCGGGGAAAACGGAGGTCGCTCGCCTGCCCAATCGTCGGTACGACATCTACGAACAAGCAGTCCAAATTGCAGATATCATATGTCAGCTAAGCCAGGCGACACAAAACCAAACAAGAACCTTGTCACCGGTGTCCCCGTCGGCATCTCCGCGTGCACTCAACATCCTCATTGAAAACTCAAGCCCAGCATCAGTGAGAGCCCGCTTCACACTCTCAATCGTCAAGCTGTCCGCAAATATCGGCAGATTTCTCGACTGCGACTCGGTCAATGCAGGGGGTCGGAAGCGCCGGATATCCAGACCAAAGCGAGTCCGATTTGCTAGCCATTTGAGTACGGGCCAGAGGATCAAATGATTCTATGTCAGATTCACTCCGAAATGTCGGCATTAGACGTTCCCGTCAGTGAACGTTCATCAGTCATCACGGTTGTGGCCATGATGTAACCACGGGAGGCGAGGGAGGGTCCCACTCGGTGGAGCAGATGACTGCACATTCACCACTTTTGCTTGCCGCCTACAGCTTCACGATGTTGGATCAGACATCCCGCCACCCATCGACCGATGACCAACAGCCTACGGCATTATTTTTGCATACATATCTTATTTCCATGTATTTTGGTAGCCGCGAATATCACAGTCGGTGTACATAGTTTCATGCGGGAATATGACTCGCGTTCATACTAGACTCATTTGCCTCTCCAGTCAACCTTACCATTCACTCATAGTTACAATTCATAAAGAAATGAAGATTGGAAGAGACTCCTCACGATCAGCTTTTTTCTCCTAAGTCCGAGGGCCGCCCAGCGGAGAGTGAAGTCCAGAATATGGGGTTGCCTCTGAATCGCATGAAATGTCCGATTGGCCCGCTTTTATGACATTCATATGAACGGGAAAGGCCCATTGAAACTGATTGACGTAAGATTCGAGTGTATCGAGGGCCCAAACATCGCATGGACCACCTTATGTGACGTTGAAAGTCCATTAGAAATGCGAACAGTGAAAGTTGAGGTCATTGTTATGTAGCTGTGGAAGAATATCATTCGAAATGTCGAGAAGTCTACGAAGCCAGCCAAGATCGGCAAGCCAGCTCCTATAAGTAATATCTTGAAGGCTGTCCTCAAAGGTTCTCATCCTCAAGGTTCTCAATCAATCAACTAAACTTGTATTATATTCCTATTTGAGCATATCAACCGTCGATCAACCATGGCAGACCAAATCCCCAAGCAGATGCGCGCCGCGGCTATCAAGGACTTCAACAAGGGCTACGAAGTCAAGGACATCAACGTCCCCACGGACCTCGGACCAAACGACGTCCTCGTCAAGATCGCCGCCGCAGGATACTGCCACACCGATCTGCAAGTACAAGAAGGCGTCTACGCCTCCGCCGGCGCCAAGCCCGGCCTCGTCGGCTCCCACGAGCCTGTCGGCGAGATCGTGAAGCTCAGCCCCGAGGCCGAGAAGAAGGGCTGGAAGATCGGCGACCGCGTCGGCTCCATCAACACCTACGGCTGCTGCGGGAAGTGCAACTCGTGCAACCAGGGCAAGCAGCTCTGCGATAACCTTACCGGCATGCTGGGTCTCACCGTCGACGGCGGCTTCGCGCAGTACATGAAGGCCGACGCCCGTGTCATCGCCAAGGTCCCCGAGTCAATTCCCTTCGTCGAGGCGGCACCTTTGTTCTGCGCCGGTGCCACGGTATACGGCGCTCTGCTCGCTGCCAACCCGCAACCGGGCCAGTGGTTGGCGATGGTCGGCATCGGCGGACTGGGACATCTCGGTGTTCAGTATGCCAAGGCGATGGGCGCGAAGGTCATCGCCATCGACAACCGCCAAGAAGCCCTCGACCTCGCCAACAGCGTCCCGGCTCACCTCAAGCCGGACCGCACCTACCTCATCGACACGGAGGAGAAGGAGAAGAAGACGATCGAGGAGCTGCAGACTTCGTTCTACGACACGAACCCCGGCGTCGACCGCGTCGTGATCAACACCGAGGCTCGGCCGCTGGTCAAGTTTGCTCAGCAATTCCTGCGCAAGGGCGGCGTGTTGTGCGATGTGGGATTGCCGGCCGACGGGCCTTTCGAGGTCGACCCGTTCGCGTTGAACTTCAAGGAGCAGACTGTTCGCGGAGCCCTCATCTGCACGCCGGAGCGCAGCAAGGACATGCTTGAGCTGCATGCTAAGAACAAGTGCACGACGCACATTGAGAAGACTTTCAGCGTGGAGCAGGCGAACGAGATGGCCGAGCACTACCTGTCGAAGCAGCTGAAGGGCCGCTTGTGCATGGTTTTCTAAGACCTTTACTGTATGATTAGATGTATTATGACCCCTAATGAAGTTTGTCAATATCACCAAGAGAACGTTGATTTATTTTCTGTCCACATTCGCATGCCGGTCAAGCCTGATGACTGTGGGGTAATTGTCCGGTGTTGCACTCGGACTCAAGATTACTGATCGCGGGGCCGGCCGGGAATGGCCGTTGCATCGATCGCCGAGGTCGACTGAACCGCAGGTTTACTAATATCAGCCGATCACAAGTCTATTGTGGTACCATACTTGGTGAGGAAGTAGGCACATGCAAAACCGGATCATGATATATAAATGCCCAGGAATATTCATAGTGATTGACCTTCAAAATCATCAGCTTGCAGTAGAGAACAGTTCAAAGTCTCCGCGTATGCAACTTGTCGTTACACAGCAAACGAAACCAAAATGGCTCAACCAACATACCAACCCATAATAACCTCAGACGAAGACAAACCCTCCGCTTTTAAACGGAGAGCAATCTACCTCCGCCCCTTCTTCCTCTTCTGGCTCAACTCCCTCATCTTCGAAGTCGTCATGCTCATAGTCAGCATCCTCGTCTTCTCCGGTTGGCGCGACATGTTCCAGAAGTTCATGTGGACCATCGTCTTCTGCCCGCTGGGCATGGGCGGCGCCATGGGCGGCCTGATCAACGCCTTCGTCGTCGACCGCATGTACGGCGCCAGGGCGGTGCACCTCGTCGCGATCCTGAGCGTCTTGGTGCTCGGGGCCTGCAACGACCTGTGTTACAACCTCGACCTGACCTTCGGATGGTTCGGTGCGAGGGATCACTTTTGGTGGTGGCACTGGCGGTATTTGCTGGTCTGGTTCGTGGGATATACGAATGGGAAGTTGATGTTTACGGACGAGGGACAGGAGAAGCTTGCTACTTGGGGTGTCTAGTGATTCTCGGTGTGATCGATTTCGGATGGTGGCTGTCACAGGATTTTAGGTGTGGCTGTACGGAGAAAAGGGGCAAGTTCGTTAGTCGCTGCGCTAGTCGACGGTCGAAACGCTCATCTCTCGGCTTCATCCGATCGAAGGGGCTGAGTGGGACGGCCAAGTTAAAACAAGCAAACTGTTTAGTGGCTTATTGTTGAGTAGTTAGTATCAAACTTCACGTTGAACCTTTGGTGCTTCGGTCGTGCATCTCCTTAAACATTGGGCAAGTGGAGAAATTGAACATATTGATCATCATGACGCCCATCCGGAAATGTGGCAGTTAAAGAATTTAAAGTCGTATCATTAAAGAGATCTATAGACAACCAAGTCGTCAATGTCGTAAAAGTTGGACGCCGTCCAGTCTAACATGAGTAGAAGAAGAAAACAGAAATGTGGAAGTCATTCAGTCATACAGTTGATGTGCCTCAAGACCCATCAGACCCTCGCAATCGCGTCGGTGCAGTCAGTCATAGTTCCCTTGTTGTTGCCAAAGAGTGCCATCTTCTCCATCCTGTTGGTTCGTTAGTAACAGTTGATATGAAGAGTAATCTGCTCGACTTACGCGTTGGAGAATGAGCTGGCCCACTTGTTCTGGTTACCAATGAAACCCTGGAACTTCTTGCCAACTCCGGTGTCCGTGTCCGTAGCGAGCTTCTCATCAGAGGGGAACACGAAGACACCCGGGGGGGCCTGCTTGGGAGCCTTCTGCACGGCGTAGTTGTAGGTCTCGGAGTAGTAGTTGACATCCCACTTGCCAGGACTGAGATAGAGTAAGTTAGACCGGGAGTCCAAGACCAGACGGAACGGGAGCGATGACACTTACGTGGAATCTTGAGACGCGTTCGCTTGCTTGGGGTCGACGAAGTTCTGAGTGGACGTGCTGTGAGCACCGAGGAGAGCAGCCAAGTCTTCAGCCGAAAATCCCTTCGCCGCGAAGAGGGCAAACAGACTCTGCGCGCTGCCGAAGACGTCGGGGAGACCGCCCGGCTTCGCGTTGGCGGTGCTGTCTTTCCTGCCGACGAAGGTCTTCACCTTGGGACCTCCAGGGCACAAGAAAATCGCGGCATCTTCACAATAACAAGTCAGCGAACCATTCATCTCCCACAATCTCAACAGTCCATCCGGGCGAAACCTACTTCCAGCAAAAACAATCATATCAGCAACGCTCGTCCCATACGTCCCCGCCATGTCCTGCAGGACCTTGGCGATGGTCTGCAGCCCCCTGTTCTCCGGGCGGAAAAGCTCGTCGGGGTCGCCCGCCGTCGAGCTCTTGCCCAGGACGAGGGACCCGTCGCAGCCGCCGCTGAAGCCCTGCGAGTTGTCCCACGAGCCGCAGTCGTGGAAGATGGCGCGGATGGCGGCGCGCGCGAGGTCGTTGCACTGGTCTCCGGCCATGAAGCGCGTGTTCAGGTCCTTGTTGACCTGTTGCCAGACGGTGCATTGGTTGGTGGAGCTGCCACTGCCGCTGCTGTCTCCGGAGCCTTTGCCCTTTCCGCTGCTGCCGCCGTCGTCGCTTCCGCCCTTGCGGGCTACGAGATCGTTGACGGGGGAGTTGGGGGACGGGAGCGTCGCGGCGTGGGAGAGTGCCAAGAGGCCGGCGACGAGGAGGGATGAGGTGCGCATGTTGGTGGAAGTGGTAGTGGGTTAGGTGATGAAGATACCGGTGGTGATGTCTCTTGGCGATCGATGCTTGGCGATGGTGTCAAGTGGATGATGCCAAGAACATACCTTTCGGGTTGCGATCATCGCGTCTTTATAGAATCCTGACAACGGCTCGTCTATGCCCGTTTGTGTCAAGGCCTGTTCGTCCCATCGTGATCTAGACCCTCTTGACGACTTGCACCAGCCCGTGGCGGAAGCCTTCGTGTTGGTGTCTGGCGCGAACTTCGAACCGCTGAAGATGCGAACCCACGGCATCGGATACATCCAGAGCGCGCGCCGCGAAGAGTTCCAATGGCTTCGGGATCCGATGTCGTTAGCTCGGAACGGGGTTTTGAAACGGGACACGGTAGACTTGTGGAGGGACTAGCCCGTCCGGTACGTCTAGCGCGTCGTTGAACCGGCTGACGGGCGGTTCCTGGAAAAGTGACAGGCCAATTAGAAAGGAGACATTTATAACTCATTGTGAGCCGCGCCAATGTAGTCTAGTTCGAACTAGCTAAACAAAGCAGAATGACAAAGGTCCTAGGTGTGAAACGGGGCAAGGAAGCTCGTTGAGCTACTTGGTTATCTCCCCCCTTGTTCTACACAAAGGGCCTCGCTTCTCTGCGTTAAAGGCAACCCCAGACATACGAGAAGACCACACGTGGGGTTACCAATCGACCGGTATCAGACTCAGCCGCGGCTGGGCCCAAAGCGCTGGAATCTACTAAACCAGTTACCTCTCGTGGGGTTTACGAGAGCACTTGTGGAGGCTGGGGACGTTTGACGTTCAGGAGTCGGCGTCTTCGAGATACTTTCTCATGAGCTTGCGTCTGTGTGTTATCCGAACCTCACGATGCTCGAGCTCGTCTGATGGATCGGTCTGGAAATCGTCTGTAAGCTGGGTCGTACATATTGGCAAACGTGCTCACGAGTGATCAACTGCAGGAGACGAACTTGTTCGGATGTTGTTGCTATTTCAGACGTTGTCAACCCCATATTGTTGATGCTTCTGGAAATTGTTCCTCCTTAGGAGAAGACGAGCTTTTCTGGGCCAGAGTCATTGACCTCCGGCGACATAAAACGAACTAGCGGAATAGCCCACGCGCCGACATCACGGCCCGTCAAAGCTTCTTTCCCGCGGCTCCAGCTAACAGTCTTCTCCGGCTACCATGTCAGCTCGCCGGCCGAACCATCTTCAGCACGGATCTCTCAGATAGCGCCTGTCTGCTCCGTAAGTCCAAATACGAAAGCCATGGTTGGTCAGCTTGAGGTCTCTTCGGCCTGGACCGAACGCCATAATCTCACCGACAGCCCGTCAACCTTTCTATCGGGACTTGGTATTCTTAAACTTCGTGGAGATGAGTGGGGTTTTGCGCCGGGCGGTTTCTCAGCTTGCGTATGTAGCCTCATCTTGATGGGGAGATTAAAGATGACAGAAGACGGTGACGGGTCGTCGACTTTGGGCTAGGTTTGGCAGTTCGTGGCTGCGGCTGGATGCCGAAGTCATAAGAATCAGTCAACTAGAAGACAGCGCCTGGGCTTTGGAGCCAGACTCTCGGCAAGAAATCAAGCCACGGGCTTCACATGTAGTGGAACAACCAACATTCATGTCAGCAAGACGCCGTGAATATGGGTGTTACAAAGCTATCGTTCTCCTCAAGACACTTTGGTCAATGCTGCACCTACCACGAGAATGAGATGACACTACCGTGCAGAAGCACCATGGAATACTGTGATTGTCCTGAGTAAATACAGAAGAGACTCGCGAAGCGCATACGAATTGCAAAACACCGCCCAGTTGTGGACTGTTACCACAAACACATGAAAAATCCAATCGCTTTTACTCAAACAATCTGACCTGTTTTCTCTTCCCAAATCAGCCCGTTCTCGCGGTCGGCCGCCCACGCTCACGTCTACTGGTCAAGCGCGGCTGTATCGTGCAATCGAGTCGTCTGCCTACTGTAGGAAGGGATCTTACGAGACGGGTGGCTGGTCTTTCGCTGTGGAGCTACTCTTATGCGCCTTCGTCCCCATGCTGCACGTTGAGCTTACATCTCTTTAAGGAAATCCTCGAACTCGGCTGTCTTCGTTGTTGGATACATCATCTCCTTAAGGACTGAGGCAATGCTCTCCAGAGAATCGATCTGCTGCTGTTCAATGAGCATGCAAACATGATGCTCTCGGATCATGTCCGCCGACCACATGCGACTTTCGGAAGGTTCGATGTGGACTACGTCACAGATCTGCCGGACGCGACCTGTGAGATCGTCAATGGTGACGGGATCCAAGTCCCGGAACTCGGCGTAGGTCAACGGTCTGGCGTGGGTGCCACGCATCAGATCCTTCTCGATCCACTCTGAGCCGTTGTTGGTGAGTGCTTGAGAGACTGCTTCGAAAATATCTCCCATGTCAGTGATAACATCATTCACAATGACAGTTGCCGGCTCGCTGAGCCACTTCTGACTGTTCTTGAGGATCGTCACCGCGCGTTGTAGCTCGTCCTTAAGGAGGTATAAGGCACATCGGATGCGGGGAATCTGGTCGTTTTCCCGGTAGGGGGCTTGGAAGTTGCGTCGGGGGCCCATGCTTGGCGCCGTGACTGTGGGGGACGGAAACGACATGTGCTTCGTCTGAAAGTCGTCGAAGTCGCTGCGGAACGTTAGCTTGCCGAGTGCTTAGGACGATGAAATGGCCTCGACTCACACTTGCATGATGGGGAGGAATTCGTCCATCTGTCTGTGGTAGTCGGAAAGCGACTTGATCAGGTTCAGGTAAGAAAGGATACGCTCGTACTCAACGGAGTCGGCAGGAGCGTCAAGGATCTTGAATTTGTCCTGAAGGTCCGTCAAGGTGCGGCTTAGCGAGGCGATCCACATCATAAGGCTCGGATCGAGGGGAAGATCGCTGGCGGTAGAGTTGGGCCTCTCCCAATGGTCGGCATATTTGGCAAGGATGGGAAGTAGGTCTCTGACCTGCGCTGCCAGCGCCCTGCAATGAGAGTCGATATCTGCGTGTATTTGAGTTCCGCTGGGCTTGGCAGCGATGGCGGAGGTGTCCTTCAGCATCCGGTCTAGGACTCGGAGGCCATCGTTGATGAACACGGGATTTGTCGAGGCATCGTCAAAATCGAAGGACTCGCCGATAGTTCCACCTTTTTTAATTACGGTGTCTGCCTTCTCGTAGTTGGAGACAAAGTCTTTCTGGGACTCTGTTTCGCGAGCCGCAAGCGAAAGGTTTGCAAAGTCCAGTTCGTCTGTTGCTGTGCGTCCCGAGGACCTCCCCCAGGCGGGATTGATGTCCGCGGTACTTGGTCCTCGACTAACTGGTGTGCCCAGGAGATCAAGAAGACTTTCATTTCGGTCAGCACCAGGACGCTGGCTGAGGCGAGAGGATTGTCGAGGCGGCTTGGCGACTGTCACCGCATCCGCAATCCCTTCATTGTTGGAGAAGACGTTTGATGCTTCTGTGCCCATCTCTGTCTTTACAGCATTGTTGGGGCCTACCGGGGTAGGAACCACATTCGACCGTTCGGTTGACGAAGATGACGAAGACGACGATGGGCACTTGATGTGGGGGTTGGCAGCTGTCGATTTGTTGCATGCCTGTTGCTTCCAGGAAGCCGCCTGACAAGACGGACTTGATATCTGGGTACTTGGGTCTGGGGTTGGCTGTTGATTGATGGGGCGCTCGTCGTCATTCTTGGGAGCTTTTCTGATGCTTGGCGATTTGCCTTTGGATGGGCGGAAAGCTGGAGGGGATAGGATCGGCTTCTCTTCGCTCTCGTCATCGGAGGTGGGAAGGGATACGACAGAGTAATTATCGGCGACATCCTCCCAGTCGTCGTCGGAGGCGAGCTTGCCAGGGCTCTCGGGAGGTGCTACGGCGGAGGTATTTCTCTGGAGTCGCTTCGCTCGATCCTCCGCCTCCGGCGTGGAGTATAGATCGATGTCGTCCATCGTCAAGGAATGGGTTGACTCGGGGCCTTGTTGAAGATTGTGTCGAGAAAAGGACGTGTTGGCTGCTAAGGTAGATTGATGAAGAGCCGGAGCGGGGTACCCTAACAACGGCGTACAAGACGGGATGAAATGTGAACGTTGAACGAGACCCTGAACAGAGGGAACAATGGCTGGAACTCAACTTCGTCAGCATGCGAGACACTAGGATGACTCGACTTGAGGTGACGCGGACAGGCAGGCGCCAGTGAGGCGAATCAAGGTTCAAATGTCGAACGGGCAGGTACCTCATGCCCGGAAGGGCGAAGTGAGGCAACTAACAGGCTGCAGCTTGCTCCGAGCTTCAGCTGCTTCACCGAAGCTTCGACCAATGAGAAGGCCGCAAAGAGGCCGTCAGCGGTCGATCACTGCTACTTTCAGTGGCGAACGTCTTGTCACCCTGCTGAGCTCGAACCCCGCAGTGGACATATGGCCCGTGCTCGGGTCTCGCTTAGCTAGCCGAGTCTTTATCGGCTGTTTATCGAGTCTTATCATGTCTTATCGGGCTGCCAATGTTGATGGATTGGAGCGTTGGATGTTGGGGAAGGAGCCAATGCCGGTAGTTGTGCCTGACTACCTCCAGGGATTGCTGGTGTTGCTTTGCTCCTTCTCCTGTCGATGTTGACTTATAAATATTTCCATCTCGATAAAACTCTTCAGCAACAAACATCATCCTTGAAAATAGAAAGATTCGCCAAGTCCATTGAAATCCATTATCCATTATCACCCGCATTGAGTATTGGGAGCGGTAGTGACTCTCGTCTAAGGTCTACGACCGACCATCTGGTATCCGCCATCATCCGACTTCCAAGGTATTCCCCTCCAAACAAAAGAAAGCATTCTATCTGGGCGCAACCGCCGACCCTAAACTCCTCTGTTATTGGCAATGGTTGCTGATGCCTTTGGTGCTTCAGATCTATCCTATGCTCCGAACCACCAGCCATGAACGTCCTCACTCATTATCCACCTCTCTTCAAACGCTCATGCTGCTATTCTCGTGCTGCATCTTGCGGAAGCTACCACCCATCTTTACAAGCTCGAGTCCGTTTTTGATAGGCGGCTCGCCGCGGAGGAGAAGACCGATCTCGCTGGGGTGGAACCAGTTCATCCACACCATGACGAGGAACATGAGTGTTGCGTCGAAGATGAAGATGAAGACCTCCGTCGTCATGAGGTAGCCCTTGTTACCCTGCAGATACTCGATCACACGGAACACGCTTCGAACCCAGATCAATCCGCTAGTGACATACAGCGTCAGGAGGTAGTGCTTCCAGCGAACCTCGGGCAGCTGGGACTTCGCCGTGGGCACCAGCACCATGCGACGGTGGAATAGACCGGCAGTGACAACGAAGAAGCCGAAAACGAAAAGCTGGACAAAGAGACCGACAATGATGATCTTCTCGCCGAGGTCCATGAAGTTGTTGGTCTGGTCAGCGGCCGCCATCATCCCACCACCTGTATCAAGTTAGTTTTCTGCAGCGCGAACAGTTTTCTGGCATCCACTACTGACCACTTGACTGGAGGAGGAAGGAAAAGACGTCTCCGGCCACGAAGATCTTGGTCAACCAACGTCTCTTGATCAACGCATGGCTTTCGCCGTCGGTCAACATGATGATTCTGCCGAGGATCATGTAGATGGAAGCCGCCATCAACGCTGGTGCAATCAGAAGCAGGACATTCTGGATAATGTACGGCATAAGCGTCCAGCAACCTGGTTCCTCCATGGTATTCTTCGCGCGAAATGCATATCCGATAAATTCGCCTGCATTGGTTTCGTTGTCAGTCTGATTTCGATGATAAAACTAGGCAACAACTCAAGACTTACAGAAGCCACCGACAACTAACGCCGTCATGTACCATGTCTTGGTGCGGATCAGTTGGAAAAGATGGAGAGCGGTCGTCAAGACGAAGACGACGCAAAAGAAGATGGCGGCCGCTGTCGAGGGCTCGAAACGGTAGAAAGCCCAGTTGGCGTTGATATAGTCGGGGTTACAGGCACGCGCCATTGTGGGCGGCTTCGATCTTGGCTGCTAGAAGGGCTTAAAGTCGGTCGACTCGATAAGGGCGAAGGAAGTGTCTGCGTCGAGGTAAAGTTGGAAATCTCAGAAGACAACACCGAAAAGTTGACCACGGTGGCGTCTTTGGGAATCGTCTTCGGTCGGGTCTCGTTGATTGCTGATGAAGATGAACTACTGCTTTCCATGTTTGCGAGAAGAAGGTATGCTTATGTTCTTTTCAGGGCGTCGTGGACTGCCTGATCCGACAGGGATCGTATTTGACCCTGCAGTCAGCGAAAATTAACATGTCCAATTTTGCTAACAAACGGCAGGTCTGAGTTCTTCGCGCGCCGTTCACCACGCTTTGGGACTGGCTAGCCTGGGAACCCGAGTGTCACTGCGCCTCAAGACCCGCGATCCCGAGTATTCTGTCCGGATGGAATTGGAAGAAATCGCATCTCCAACCGTATCAAGTACGGGACCAATCGCGTCAACCGGAGTACGGCTTGGCAGATCAACCGGGCGCAGGGGCTGACGAACAGACCGGGATACCGGGGCCTCTGGCCTCTCGGGACGGTGGACCGCGCATGACAAGCGCCGGAAGACCCGCCAAACTAAGGAGATCGGCTCCGCAATTGCGAGTATTCGCTTTGGTTTCGTATCTGCTCCGCTTTCAACTTCGACATTTCGATTCCTCCGTGGCTTGGCTTAGCTCCTGCCCTTGATCTCTAGTCACTAAGATTCTTCTTATTCGATGCGAACCCGCGTGTTCGTAAGCCTCCCTCCGACATACTTTTAGAATTCGACAAGTCCTCTGGTTGCGGCCCGCCTGTCACCCAAACTGAGATGATCGCGGAGCTTTCATCCGAAACATCAGATTACCGCCATCTTCCGCATCCAAAACGGTCTTCATCAATCCAATGGCGACCCGTCGCTCCCATACCAAGTCCCGCAACGGTTGCCGGGATTGTAAGCGAAGAAAGGTGAAGGTAAGAAAACCAGTCCCTCGGGATCAATCACACGCGCCAAACACGCGGCAACTCCCCTCGTCTGCCTTGGCGCCTACGTTGCGCCACCTAGCCAACGAATTGCAAAAGTCGGTGTCACTGACGGTCTCAGTGCGACGAAGCTTACCCGTCTTGCTTCAACTGTACCAGACATGGAATCATCTGCAGCTTATCAATATCACGGGCATCTCCAAACGACATCAGCCCTGCACGACCTCCGTTCGGCTCCTCATCTACTCCCGGTCTCAGCCCCAGCTCCAGATACGACTTTCTCAGTGTACTAGCGGATCGCACCCGTTTCCCACCACCAGCACCCACCATTGAAATCTGGGGTCGGGGCTTGGAGCTGATGCACCATTACTCCCTATCCACCGCCGATTCAATAGCCACACGTCCCGATGTACGGCATGTGTGGCGCGTGCTCATCCCGGAGATCGCGTACACATGCCCGTTCGTGATGCATGGCATACTCACCATGTCTGCCCTGCATAAAGCGTATCTCATCCCCTCAGAGAGGGAAACATACCTCGATCTCGCAACGGCCCATCAGAACGCCGGTCTCGAGATATTCCGGGACGAGTTGCACACGCTCGACGAAAGCAACTGGCAGCAGTTCTTCTGCTTCGCCTCCATCGTGGTGCTTTACGTGTCTTCAATACCGGTTCGCATAGGCAATCAGACGGAGCCCGTGCCGAATATCCTTGAACTCTTCATGTTTGTCCGTGGAATACGTGCGGTTCTCGAACCGTATCAGGGAAAGTTGATGAAGACCAAGTTCTCAGCAATGGTGCACGGCATATGGATCATTGATCCAGACGACACCAACTATAGGTACGCGATGATTACATCAATCTTTTCTCAATGCATCAACTAACTGTCTGAAGAAACCCCGCAATGAATCAATCCCCACTGCCTGGAGATATCTTCAAAGCACTAGAAGATCTACAGTCTTTCTTCGGAGAGGCCCTCCACGACGAGAGTCGAGAGGAGTATCTCACCGCCGTGGCCGAGCTGGAGAAGGCCGTCTACCTAATGGCTCACGCCGGCACGAACATCGAGATCGGCATGATCCTCTTCTGGCCGTACGTCATATCCGAGAACATCATGGCCGACATCCAGGCCCAGAACCCCTTCGCGATCGTGCTGCTCTCCTACTTTGCGATCCCGCTATGCGTCCTGGAGCAGAGGTTCTGGTTCTTGAAGGGGTGGTCGCGCAGGCTGTTTGATGTCACGGACGGGCTTCTGGCTGAACACTCCACGCTTATGGAGATGATCAAGTGGCCGAGGCGGCAGGTGTTTGAGATTCATGGGCTTATTTGAATGACATTTACTTGATGAATTTCGTGCTTCTAGAAGAAACCTCCAACTCCCACGGACATGGTGAGGCATGCTGTCTGCTCGGAATATGGATTGTCTGCAGTCATGTAGATGACACGGCGAGCTGTCCAAGACGGAGACGCTCAGTCAACCAGCTCCTCCTCCTCCTCATCTTCCTCCTCCTCCTCAGCGAACCCCTCGGAGTCGAAAGTTTCCTCCACATCGGACTCGACCGGCAGACGTCTTTTCCCAAGGACTTCACGGAAGGGATTTTTGTCCGTTTGGTAGGGATTCAGCAGCGTCCTATTATCCGACGGATCAACCGAGCAGTACGACCATTGAATATCGCGCACGGTCTTGCAAAACAACTTCCCCCTAATGCACTATCGTCCGCCGCCGTCAGCACAGATATCTCTCTCGCCGGACGGGGGTAAAACTTACCGGGGTGTCTGGATGACACATCGACCAGGGGGTATCGCCCGCCATGCATCTCCCCAGGGTGGGGGAGCATTGCTGGAGTCGCGGTGTTAGTGTTCGATGCGAGGTGGGATGGGAGGGGGATGGAAGGACTTACGCCGCACGAAGCGTATTTGCCGTGGACTTTTGTCCATTTTGGACAGATGGGGGCCGGTAGCCTGTTCTGGGCTTGGGCTGCTGTGAAGAGGAGGGTGATGGCGAGGATGCTTGGTAGGAGCTGCATTTTGGCGAGTTGATGGGGGGTTTGGTGGGATTCGGGAGGCTTTTTGTGGGAGTTGGTGTGGAGGTGGAATGTTGGACAGTAGAGGTGGCTGAAAATAAGAGACTTCTGTAGTGTCGATTATGGGTGTGTTTCCTCTTTTATAGAGGACAAAAATATGTTCGCTGGACTACATAATTTTCAGCTCCCAGAGAAAACGGAAACCTTGTTTTGCTATGGTGGGATAGACCACCTTGACGTCCAACAGCAAACCTTGATGCTGAATACAAATTCATGGATAAATACATGTAAAGGCGGCCTCTCCTGCAAATTCTAGGTGTCCAGTCTTTGAGGAGAAAAATGACAGCAAAGGTCGATTTCATCCGCCTCAAACCTTTGAATTAGGAGTCTTTGTGGCCGGTGTGTAGGTCCGCGTTGATATACACCATTCATTAGAAATAGGAAATACAGTGAGGTGACTCTATGTACTATAGTGATTTAAGGGTTTGGATGATTTTCAGCCTTGAATTTGAGAATGGCAGAGACGTGGGGCTTTAGTCTTGGTTGTGAGGTTGCTTAATACCATTTGACGAGTTTGCTGTGTTTCGATGATTAGAGAATGCGCTGTCTAAGGACCATTATACGCAATTCGGAACATCGTCCCATGATGAATTATACTAAGACTAACATCATCAATACCATGTCGCGATGATATAGTCTGAAAAAAGAAGAACTAAAGGCTATACCCGCCTCGAGTTGAAACGACTTACTGAACTTGAATTATTATTCAAATAAATCCTAAATCCAGGCAGCCATTGCAGGAACACATGGTAATTCTGTTTAGTACTACATCTAGACTCAAAGCTTGCTGCGTTCATTGTGTTGAACTATACTCTGATCCCGGATAGCTGAGAAAACCTTGTCATTGACCTTTGACTCCAAAGTGCCAGGCGTACCATTCTGTTTCTAGGGCCGTGTATAAAGAGAATCAACCCTAATAGATCAACGACCTTGCCATGTTGGAAGCATGTGGTACATATTGATTAGGATAACTCTGACGCACGTGAGATCAACGACAGCAGTACATTCAAAAGCTAATCATTCTAATTAACACTAAAAGCAGACTGCAAAAGTATTGATAAATACCAAACTAAATTATTGACCGGCAGATATACCTGCTGTGTACACTCCGCAACAGCTGATTGTGTATCCGTGTTTCCAAGTTCTTTAAAAACAGCCCGTAAGGGAGACACAAGCGATGCCCTCAAATTGTATCACTTCGATATCCTGTGTGCATTGGTGCAACCACATCGGGCATGCACATGGAGCTTCCGTTGCTTGATACTAGGTATCCAAGAGACTGAAGAACTTCGCCACATACCAGCACAAGCCTCCAGAATAACCACTAGCAATGGCAATACTCCACGGAATCTAATTCAGCACCTCTTATTATTTTTAACTGTATTAAACATCTCGATAATAGCCAGCGTGGACACAGTATCACTACGTGTGTCCGCACGAGGATTTGAACCATCGTGGCGCCATCGCAATGGAAGCAAAAAAGGCTGGAAAAGTGACCACAGAGTATCCAGACGAAATGTTAATGTTCTGGACGCTGCTGAAGAAAGAAAGAGCATGTCCGCGTACTAGCGGCTCGATGCGACCTTTGGAAGGCTCACTTCGGAGGCCTCAACTGGCGATCCGTATCACGACACGTTCAGATCACAAGTGTTGCATGTCCTGTTCTGCAGAGCGAATCATGTAAGCCACGTGTTGTGAGTCGTGTTAATGTTTATACTGCTTGGATTTGACTGGTTGCATGGATCTTGCAAGCGCAGATTGTTCACGTCTGGCAGACTAAGTGTGACGCGGATATCTCCTTAGCATACTAACACGGATGCCATTCTTCCCTCTGCTACATCGTTTGACATACGACCATACCCATTGGAAAACTCGGGATCCCGTCCGCTCTCCCATAGATAAGCCAATGAGGGCTGGATTCATTTGCTGCTACATCGTTATTAATGTATCCCAAATAGTGCAGTGGATGGAATGAAGTAGGCTATTGGCTGATAAACCAGACGGAATCATGGTTCCTAATCAGCCCTATCGATTGCGATGAGAGTGTCCGGCACTCTTGAGTACTATTACTACTGCAAGACATACATATCCTGTGTGAAGTGCCTCAAACTGCTCATGGCTATTGATAGTGCTTCTGAGATGTGGGGGAAAGCTGTTATATCGAAGTCTGCCTCACATGTCAACGCATGTGGCAGAATTATCATCCGTGATGCTAGGCTTGGCAATGAAGGCTCTTATGACGGAATACACCGGGACCTCAAGATAGGGGAACGCGCGGGAACCGGGGGCTGGGCCTATCACTGAATATTGTCCGTCCAGCAAGATGCTGATCAAGGGCTTTTCGCAGCTGGACTGCTCGGAACACTTAGTGGTGTTCATCTCGAATAGATAGCGAGAAATACCTAGAGCACCTTGAAGCCCGCCGGGTGAACCAGAACGCGGCATCAGACATCAATATTCTTTTCAGTTCGTTCAAGAACAAGCTATGAAAATATGAGAGAAAAACCAGTCGACACCTGCCAAGTTCAGCGTCTCGGGTCTTATCGGCCGTAGTTGATGACGCGTGTCAGATGGACATGATCATGGCGCAGCGTCAAACTTTATGCCCTCTTCACCCTTTCTGCTTTATTCCTCTTATGGCCCATATACTAAGCTATGCACACATTCATCGAACGTATAATTGCTATGCCGAGAGACTGGAGAAACGTTTTGTTTTTCAAGGGCGCTCCAGAAGTCAAAGAGCTTTGAAGACCGTGGGAATGAATTAGGGCGGAAGAATGGCCGACATCATCATTCATAATGATAGTCACATTCAGCATTCACTCCGGGTCATCTCGCAACGACATAAAAATCACCATAAGTTTCCAATGCAAAAGTAGCCTGACCTCAGCCGCCAAGCGCGAAGCGCCGAGCCTCAACCAAGAAGCGCCGAGCCCCAGGTGGCTCCAACGTCACCCTACAAACCCCGGTAGCCAAGCGGTCCCAAGAGCCCAGGGGCCCTATGACAATATCGGACCAAGACAATTGCTCCTTGGCCTCGTTCAGCGGTGGTCGTCAGCCCGGCAAGTGGTGGCCGGCTCTCTCTCTGCTCCACTGAGCGGAAAACGACAACAACATCAGAACCACCTGGTCCCTCCGCTTGGCGCCGAGGACGCGGTGACAACGCCGCGAATTACGGGCCCCTCCGCCGAGAGTTCATGGGCGGGCCACACGCACATTTCAACGACATTCCACCCAATTAGACTCCGCTGTCCGCCGCCGGCCCTGTCCGCCTAGTTCCTCTGTTAAGACACTAAGATTCTTGTCCCCCATCCTGCCATGCTGGGCAACTGGGCATCCCACTCAATTTCTCTGGGCGAGTTTTGCTTGTCGACCCCTTAGACATTAACTATTGATACCTGTTTACATGCCAAGACTCGTTTTCCAATACTCGGGGGTCCCCAGGCGGTTCTCACTTCGTCCTGTCTTTTTCCCATCGCCCTCTCCGCCGCCCGCGAGCGCAGGTCTTGGCATTCCGGGGTAACCTCAACTTCACGAATATCATCAACATACACTGGCTTGGAGCGGTTCAACGCCTTCATTGTGTTACCATTTTTAGTATTTGAGTTTACGATGTTGCACTTCCAGCCAAGTTGCTCGGCTGCCGGAAGCCTGGTCTCACATGCACCTCAACGCAGAAAGTTCTTGTCATACTACTCCACCATCTCATCCCAGATAGATATCCGTAGATGCGGTTCTTCCAAGAGATCAACACATGTGGCGGCCATTCACCACGAGCTTCATCTACTGCCGTGTTACAGAACGTATCTCGAGCACCAAGATGTTACCCTTTCAACCCCGGACTGCTGGTTCATGCTGTTCAACGGCGGACCAACCGATGCGGTCGTGGGGGCCTCCCACTGCCCAGTAGTTTCAAGAACCTCGAGGTTTACGACTCACAAGAAGGAGGACGAAGTTGCGGCAACGGCCGAGCGGATGTGCGTTCCAGAAACACCAGACTTGACACCGGCAAGATCACCACTTGTAAGACATTCCACAACCAAATGGCCGAGATTGACTGGAAGATCAAAACTCTGTACTCGTCAGCAAGACCGTTTCGCCAGACGTTGCATCTTCGATGAATAAGACACTGCTGCCCTTGGCCCGATCGTTGCTTGCTTCTTGCCATCCTATTCGGCGAGAGACAATAACTTCTGGCTTCCGGGCCCTGGCCTAGACTCTGGTATACCGCTCGTGTCCGAAGGTGCCCTTTCACAGCCTCCTGCCCCGGGTAACAATAGTTTCCTATCAGGATCTACAGGACGTAACTTGGCCGTGAATCAGATGCGTTTTGATCCATTATCCCACTTCCAAAAATGTCTTCGGCCACCGCGATCTGCGGCCAAGACGCTCCTTTTTGGTCCGTGGCCAAGTATGTCCCCGGTAAACATGCCACCGTTAAATAGGCAGACCAACTCTCGGCATCGAGGAAGAATCTCTCGCCCTTCCCGCCGCTCACCAGACCATTATCCATCAGCAGCGCTGGGGTACCGGGTGACCGTCATACCACAAGGAGCATAGAGGACGTCTTTGCCCTTCGTCATTTCAAGTTTCCGCTTTCTGACTTCATCTTTTGCGCGATTTTCCTTCGGCTTTCTAGACGTCCTTTTAACAATCATTTATCTCCTTTCGACACCTCGTTCATATCGATCTTTCTTTTTCTTTTCCCCAACCATTTCATGCAAACATCGTATGAGCAATAACTAAAGAACTCTTGTCCCTATCTCCATAGCCCTTGCCGGCCAAGGCAGCCTCCCTCGTCACATACACACCACACCCTCTGGGCACACGGAGATCCCCAACCTTGGAGGTGAAGCCACAATCGTGGAAGCCAAGATGCCTACTCTTGATGTCAGCGAATTGAACGTTGTGCTTGCCGTCTTCGGTGGGTACCCCCAAGCCTTAGGCCGTTTGACTGTGACTAACAATCGTCTTCCATCTGCAGGAGCCTTCATCATTCTGTATGGAATTCTTTCTGTAAAGATTAAGAATGCGTGGTACTTGGGCGAGGCCTGTAAGTTTATTCTCCCGCCGATCCGTGGCGACCTGGCAACGTTTGCGGAACCAACCACGAGTATGCATTTGAAAGGTCACTCGGGCTGACAAGCTTTGATTCTCTTTGCAGTACCGGCCGTCGTTCTAGGCATATGCCTTGGTCCAATAGCGGCCAAATTCCTCGATAGCGAGAGATGGGGCTCGGCTGTCGAGGGCCAAACAAACGACATCACTCTCGTTCGTACAGCCTTATCATTTGTGTTCCACCAAATGGCATGTGTACTGACTTAAGGTCTTCATTTGTAGGGCCTGACGAGAGTGATGATTGGTATTCAACTGGTCATGGCTGGCTACCAGCTGCCGAAGAAATACCAAAAGACGAAGTGGAAGGACATGCTCGTTCTCATGATCCCCGTCATGACGCTGATGTGGTTGGCTACAACCATATGCATCCTTGCAACAATCCCGAAGCTCACGCTCCTCGGAGCTATGGTCATCGGAGCTTGCGTTACTTCAACCGACCCGGTCTTGTCCCAGGCGGTTGCCAAGGGTCCTTTTGCCGACAAATACGTCCGGCGGTCTGTCCGAGAAATCATCTCTTCTGAAGCAGGTTAGTCGACTTTTTCCCATGTTCCAACACTTTTGCGACCCTTCTGCGATCTGCCTGCATCCCCTCAACTATTCACCACGAGAGACATGCAGTGTGACCTTTTATCAACTAACACATCTTTTAGGAGCCAACGATGGCTTTGGTTTCCCTTTTCTCATGCTGGCAGTCTATCTAATGCGGCATGCTGATGGCAAGGAGGCACTCCAAGTTGGCGAATCGACCCTTCATGCAGTCGCAAGAGCCTTGATGCCTCGAGCAGGGGATGTTGTCCGTCAAGGTGGAGGAGTCGGCATTGCTCTCCTTAATTGGCTTCTGGAGACTTGGCTCTACTTCGTATTGATGAGCATCGTATATGGGGTTCTTGTCGGAACTCTCATCAGATATGCGCTCAAGTATTCCGTCAAAAGGCAAGCAGCACATGTCTCCTGGTCCAAAGATTGGAAACTAACAACATTGCAGGAAGTGGATCGACTCCGAGAGCTACGTGCTGGTGCCAACTGCCATTGGTGTAAGTTCGATCATTGACTTTGAATGGAGCACAACTGACGCAGCTCACAGCTTTTCATGATGGGAACATCTGGGGCCATTGGCACCGACGACTTGCTTTCTTGCTTCGCTGCTGGAAGCGCACTCAACTGGGACGGAGAATACCTGGCCGAAGCACTGAAGCGACATGACGAAGTCAACGCCAGTATCGACGTCCTCCTCAACTTCGGCGGGTTTATCTATCTCGGCACCATCATTCCATGGAACGAGTTCAACTCGGACATCACTGGCATCAGCCCCGGTCGATTGGTCGGCCTGGGCGCCCTCGTCCTTGCCTTCCGCCGTATCCCCGCCGTTCTCATGACATACAAGCTGATGCCCAACACTTTGAAAGACTGGAAAGAAGCCCTTTTCATGGGGTACTTCGGTCCGATCGGTGTTGGCGCAGCTTTCTACGTCGAGCACGCACGCCATCTCTTTCCCAAACTGGCAGAGGCGGAGGCCGTTGGCGACAGCGAAGTAGCCGACGTGCTCAGAGCCATCGGCCCGGTCGTCTACTGGCTCGCAATCTTCTCCATCTTCGTTCACGGCCTGTCGATCCCGGTCCTCAGCGCCATATATACCTACATGGGCGTCCAGCCCATCCAAGAAGACCCTGTTCAGCTACGCCGCCGCTCCATCAGGGTTCCTCCGCCGTCAAACGCTGTCGAGGGCGACAGGGACACCTTCATCGCCTTTAACCGATTCTCGCGCCCCAACCTATCGAGCGAGTCTCTGGATCACTTGGGAGATGACGATTCGACCATTGCAGATGAGAAGGTTCGGTACCCTGATCTCGAGTCAGGTCTGGAGCAGGCCAAGAGGAATGCGCAATTGTCGCCACGGCACAGCTTCAACGTACCGCGAATCACGAAGTCTCGGAGTCTCAGTCGCCCACGGACATCGGCTAGCCAGGTCCAGTGGAGTCAACAGCCGCATATCACGCGAGACTAAGGTCGTGGGTTCTGGGAAATTTGGAAGGATACCGGGCTCAAGGGAAGACGCAGGCACTTGGGGAGTGATTTCGTGTTGGATACCCTTGCCGCATTGATTGCTATAGCGTTGTTTTCAATGTGTGATATGTTCTAGTAAGCACATATATGCCCAAGGTGTATGAAGCTTGACAGTCGTTACCGCCAGCTCATCCCAGTCGCTCGTTTGGCTTCTGATGCTGAAGCGCCCAGTAAGTTAGCCTGGAGTGCTACGAAGAGGGTACAATATCAAAAGAAATCAGATTAATCCTACTTGCAAAGTGTCGTTTTTGTGTGTCTTAGTTTCTTCCAGGCTCGTCGATGAGTTTTAATTCAGCCCCAGCCTTCCATTTCATCGTAATCTGTGTCAAGCATGGCAGAATCCAGAGGCCGCCCGACTTGGTTCGCACGTATTGTAACAACCACCCAATGCCACGTCAACAATCAGTGTTGGAAGTAACCAGACCATAAGCTGAAGGTGGTAATCAACTGGTTCGTGTCGAGTCCACCGCTGGTGCAACTTGAGTGACGGAAACCCGCATGCTACACGTGTTCCCACCACGACAAGTAGCCGACAGACTCCTTGCATTGGAAGATGAGGCCAGAAAAATATGCGAAGCAAGGAGTTGACGATAAGAGTATAGAGAAAGCTGACGATGAGCGAGAGCCTCTTCTCCAGAGGCGTTGGCCTTTGCGAGCTAAATCCCGGCTGATCAACTGCCGTCTTCATGCTGTCAGGATTCTTCTAAGGCGATTTGAACAGTGTTTCAGGGTGGATAGTGCGCAGTGATTTAAATAGAATTAGTAGATATGAGCCTTGCCAGAGTCGATGTGAGTTCATGGAGCAAGCCAGTCGAGACGTCCGAGGGCTACTCTTAAGACCATGCAGTGCCAAGCGCTGAGAAATCATCTCAAGTCGATAATTACGTCATTCGGTAACAAAGCCAACAGATAAAATTGTGCCTTTGCTGAATCCCGGAGCGCTGCCCCCAAACACTGCAAATGGCCCGTTGGTTAGATGTTGTTTGGCGACCGCCCGCATGACGGGGCTTCAAATAATACGGTAGACACCAATCGTGACTGTATCTGTCTGATAATGACAGAAAACGCAAACCGACCCGAAAGCAAAAAACATAAAAACAGCGAGTGATCACCTGCGTACTGCCGTATTCCTCCATGGAAGGCCCCAGCATTTGCCAATGATACTCTCGGAGCCATTTCAACGAATCACTGTGCAGGACAGGACAGAAGGGGTTGTTCGGGATGGGATTCTCGGGGTAGACGTTTCCCCAAAGATAGAGACGCTTCCGGTCTTTCAGGGGAGATCAACCTTGGCCTCGTTGGTAGTTGAGCTGGATAAAAGTTCATCTACAAAAGATGTGTTGGTGTCAAAAGTAATCAACCCGGCAGAATGGCGCAGTTGTGGATGAGCTGCCTCGGCGAAGAAAATCAGTGCTGTCTTGAGAATGGATCATGTTGGTCACTGAGGCGTCGCGTACCAACATGTGTAAACTGATGGGAATTATGTTATTTAAATTTTTATATGACGGATTCGAGTTTATTCTTACTCAGTGATCTATTCTCAGAATCACATCACCAGACTAAAAAGTCTTTCCGCATACTACATCTTTATCTCGGCATGAGGCTAGGATGCAGTATTTTGGCCGGTGAATATGGATGCCTCAGTTAGTGAAGCAAATGCTCCACAGAGAGCAATATTTGACAAGGAGTGTGAGAGGTGGTCGCCTTTAACCTGACATTGAGGGGGCTTTAGATGTTAAGTAGAGTCCAAAATAAATAAGTAATTCCTGATTTTGGAGTACACTTGCTGGGATTTTAGGTCAGACCTGCCGTTGATGCATGTGGCTTGTATCTTGTGAACATTTTCTCTGCCTTCAGGCTTAAGTCGGTGACAATTTACAGTCACGTTAACCTATGGGTGCCAGAGATCATGAGCTAGCGATAGTTCACGTTTATGCTCCAGGCTAGCTTAGGGTCACAACGCAGATAAAATGAGAAGGGCGATATTCATCAGTAAGAATGAACTTACGTTGTTATGGACCAAACACACCGATCTCCACATCCAAAGTATCTAATTTCGAACAACGCGATTCATAAGACTGTGTGTGCAATATTATCTATTAAAATCGATCTCCCCTGGGATGGTGGTACTAACTCTAAGGAATTGTTGGCTGTAAATCACGTCCTGTATCTACCATTCCTTTGGCACATTGGACACTCTCTCGTCATCATGGGTCTTCAGACCCAGGCTCTCCAGTACGCGATCCTGGATTGGTTTCAGAACCAAGAGGACATGGTTGTACCTCCAACCGAGGACAGGAACCATGGCGCCAACCATAGCATCAAGAATGAAATGATTTGCTGTCGCGACAATCGTGATGAACATGGCCATGGGCCACAGAGGCGCAATAAGACGGAGCGGGCGGTGAGGCGAGAAGCGACAAATGCTCCAAGCGAGGAAAAGTGCCGTGCCGCAATGAAGACTAGGCATCGCGGCGATGGTGAGCTGGAACTTATTGTGAGTCCAAGCATTGCCACCTCCCTTTGCACTATGCAAGATATCGATGAACCCGTATTCGGCAGGCAGCATTCGAGGCGGCATGCAGCGCCAAGATGTCACGATAACGAAAGCAATGACATTGTCCATCGCGATGGTTCGTCGGATTCGTTGGAACGTGCTCGGCGGGAGAAAGGTGTAGGTGTAGATGAGGAAGCAGATGCCGAGACTGATGTGGGAGTAGTAAACCTTTGCCAGGATTGGCATCAGCCAGGGCATGTTGTTGAGGACATATTGCTGTAGTCCTAGTTCGAAATCGAAGCCGAAGAAGTGTTCGAAGTTCAAAATGCTGATGGCATGGTCGCGGGCCCTGTTGAAGACTGCTTCGTTACCGGCAATCATGCGGGCCGAGAACGCACGGAGAAGTTGGTAGACCCTGGTGAGTAAATAGAGTTAGACCCTGTTCCCAACAATATCACGGACAGCAACCAAGAAGAAAGTCGGGGTCCTGCTTCGTCTTACCAATAGGTCAAGTTCCAGTACCAGATTTCAGAAAGGAAAGGAAATGTTTGGTAGAACCGAACAAGTAGCTTGCTGTTGACGCGGGATATCTCCGCCGCCTCCGCCCGCATCCCCGGCTTCAGGAGCGGAGAGGTGGGGCGAGACGACGAATCCTCCGACCCACGCTCGCAAGAGTCTACGTCATCATCGTACACCGGTCTTCGGCGGTTGATAAGAGTGCCAACTGTGAAGGCAAGAACGATGACTGATGTGAGAATGGTCAGAATGAGATTTTTGATTTTGTCGACATCGGTTTAAACAAACGACATTAGGTGTGATGTTTGTTGTTGACGCAAATCGTGGTGGGACTTACATGCGGGCTCGACCACGTTCTTCAGGGCTGCGATCGACGAAGCCATGACAGTAGTCTAATTCGACAAGAAAACCGGAGAGAAAGAAGGAAAGTCGGCGGAGAAATTCCGAACGTCCCAAGGGTATCACAAAGTTGGTCTTGACGTGAAGGAGAAAATAGTTTTGTGTCCCTCAACGGGAAAAGGAGTGAATGATAAAATACTAAAACCGGAAAACACCAAATTCTCCCAGAGGCTCGGAACCGCCCAGAAAAAGGAGAGGGATGACGAGGGTAATAAGAATCTCAGACTGCTGCCTCCGGGCGGACCAAACCCACATGGGAGCGGACGCCCCAGTCTTCCTCGAATACCCCAGCAGAGAATAGCAACATCGGGGGTCAAGCATTGTCAGATCGGCGTCCAGGCGTTGGATGTCCCCATCAGCCTTGGACGACACACGTGCCGTGCTACCACACAGAGCCGTCTGATAGGGAGATGTCAAGGGGGCTGTAGCAGGTGAGGAGCGGGACTGGAGACACGACTGACATCTCGGGGGGCTCAACTGGTCTCGGCATACATCTGTAGGAAGGAGGGCACGCGACTCCGCCATTATATTCCATCGCCCCGACGCGTACGTGATGCGTGTGATGAGTCGCCAGCAACCCAGTTTTCATCCCGCTTCCTGCTTCGCCCGGTCTCCACGTCGGACCACTTCAATCAGCATGAACTGAAAGTTGCCAACGACAGAGGAACATCGGCGTAAGCAAGAAAGGGATGTGGGAGACAAGACTCCGGCAGAAAAAAAAAGATGTATTATTTGCTGTGGAACCTCTAATCCCCAGTTCCGTTTCGGGTCTCCTTGTCACCCACAAGTGGATTGCATGTTGGCGGAGCCACTTCCTATGATTTTCTCGGCAGCCGGAAGAACCGGAATCGTTCACAGGGGGGATTTCCTCGGATGCCAAGTCGAACCCGACAAGAGATACAGTAATCCGTTAAATTAAAGTATCGAAAACAACAGAGCACCTTTGGCCTCGATCCACTCGCATGTGCTTTCGATTAGACGGTTGGCCCGTTCAGCGGCTCGTTCACTAATACGCTTGATATTTTGCCCATGTTGTCAATGGTCGACGTGCAGAAACCCAATCTTTTTTTGCCTGAACTATGCTCGTGTCGAGTCATGCTTCTAACGACTCTAATGATCCAGGAATAGGAGACTCGCGGGAACCTGCCTTTGGGGTTATATTATCCAATTGCAACATCGGACCAAAGAGGCGTTCGAGCACGCGCTCAAACTAAAAAGGACAAAACCGACCGCTGTCACGCTCCCGTTCTAGGACCGGCCCTCCAATGGGCGTCATTCTACCAATGCCAAAAGGCAAACACTTGGTCTTTTTGTACCAGGGTCAGGGAATGAACAAGGCTACCCGAGAATAAGCTGCAGGATCAGCAGCTAACATCAGAGCTTGATACGCCGCCACCCTTGGCGCTAGCGAGGCCAGCGCATCGTTCATGTGTTTTGCAGGGCAGACCCAACGCTTGAGAAGCCTGTTATGCAATCGATGAAGAGAGTAGGATTCGCTGATGTGAGAATACCGGGATTTGTGATTTGTTCAGATAAAGCATTTCGTTGGGCTGTGTTGGTTGGCAGCGATGAGTTACCGCCTGCTCGAATGAGTGAAACACGAAATAAGTGTGAAGTCTATGATGATGATGGATCTGGCTAATTTCGGGAAGCTCACATGCTATTCAGGACATACACGGAGCATTCCGAAGAAAATTCGGGTGTCGGATTATGTACTGCTTCTTACGAGGTTCCCGAAGTCCATTGGGCCGTCGGAGGCGGCCAGATAGCAGCAGCTGGACATCGGCGGACGGAGTCTTAAGTCCCCGGCCTCGGCCGAGGTTTCTACCAGGATAACGGTAGTCGAGCAGCAACCCGGCGGGATTAGCACGTCTGTAATGCAATAGCACCTTGGACAAGATGCTTGGCAACGATCTGTGTTCCACTTAGAGCAAAGCATACGATTGTCAATAAGCGGCAAGAATTCATCACCGCAGTTACCTTACGCTAACGACAAGTCTTCCCTCACCACGGCCGCCAAGACCGTCCAGACCCTCCGGATGCACCGGAACACGTTAGAAGACACCAGAACTACATTCAAAGCTCATCGGGATTCCCCTCGATCTCTGTGCAATCGAAACCCTCATCGCCATCAACATTCTTGCACAGCCACTTGTCCAAGACAGCGTCCTGCGAGACGGGCGTGACGCTGAAGTTCTCGACAGTCAGGTTCTTGCATCCTCCAGCCGCAGCGCTACATCGGAAAAAGCCCGAGCTGGGTACGTCGTCGTTGATCGTTCCGCTGAAGTCTTTCCAGACGACGTCCGAGATGCTGAAAGTCGATGAATCGCACGACTCGCCTGCGTGGCCCGAGAAAGACTCGCATTGCGTGATGAACAACGGCTCTCCGCGGACACGATCGAGTTTGATATCTTCGAGGACGATATTGCGAGCATAGCCCGTTCCGCCTCCGCCTCCATTTGGCGGGTAGCCGATCTGAATGCCGGTCCAGGTCTTGAAGTAGCAACCCCGGAGGGTATCGTGCAAAGTCACGTTCCTGGCGAGGAAGTTCTCGATGTACTCGAACTTCCCGATGAACTGGCCGATAGAGCCCATCGCGATTCCGGTGCTCCCAAAGAACTCACTGTCGTAGATGAAGATGTTGCTCGAGTTGGCCTTCAGAGCGATAGCATCGTCACCGTTCACGACGACCCAACGCCGGAAAACGATGTTGTCCGAGTACATGGTATCAGCGCCATCGGTGTTTAGTGAGTTGTTTTCCGTTGAAGAGGTGCTGTTGACGTAGATGTCTTCGAACACGAGGTTCTGCGAGTACATGATGTTCATCGTCCACATCTGACTCTGGACGAAGCGCAGGCCCTTGACGACCGAGTTCGAGAACCCGCGGAAGTTGATATTCATCGGACGATGGGGCATGTTGGAACCGCCTTTGTTGAGGTCGTACCAGACCTGGCCGTTGCCGTCAAAGGTGCCAACGCCGTGGCCTTCCCAGACCACGCGGTCCCCGCCAAAGTGCCAGACCGTGCTCTGGTTCTGGAAGTCCACGGGCATCGACACCGAGAGCCAGTAGGTCGTGTCATTACTCCAGAGCAATCTTCCTCGCTGGTCAATCACGACATCTTCGAGGTTCTCCGTGACCATCGGCGAGTTGATGTGGTAGATCGGTCCGGGAAGAACGATGATGCTCTTGCTCCGGCACTTGTCGTTTAGCGCTTCCAGAAGTGCCGGCGCGTCGTCTCCGCCGTCTGCGTCCGGCTTGAGAATGCAGAGGCTCCGCCCCTCCTTCTCTGCTCTCTCGGCCCAATCGCTGTCGCTGGGCACATCCGGCTCAGCTTCCGTCAGCTGAGTGGCGGAAGAGAAACGAGGGAGCTCATGCCCCAAGGCGAGTCCAACGGCGAGCGATGCGAAGAGAGCTAAGCCACGCATGTTTGAGATAGCTTGGGCGATCGAAGCCCAATTGAGAGTCGACTTTGTAAAAGTGAGGGGGCTTGGTCACCCGCGATCAGACGTGGCAGCGTTTCCGAGAGGATATTGTTGCGAGGAAAGATAAGATGAACCCGCAGAGCATGAGTGTCCTCGACGAAAGCTCCTGGTCTTCGCAATACTCGCTCGGATTAATGAACTTGTCGAGCTCATTGACAAACATTGTTTCTGTGAAACTTTGAGCTGGATCATATGATGAAGATCAGGGGGTTGCAGCGGTTGTCAGCGAATGACATAGGCCAAGTACAGCGGGGTACGGCGTCCGGCCACTCCCCCTAGCGTCCGTTCCCCGCATCATTACGTCTATGTTCCGCATGATGGCCTGGCATCCCGTTCCCCAGCTTCGGCACTTTGCTACTAGCACCGCAAAAGCGCCGTGATGTCGGCACTGGAAACGATTTTCCAACAGCTATTAAAGACCGATGATAGCATCAAGCATTGCATCGTAGCAGTGAGGGGTTCCGACCAGCTCATGGGATGACTCTGTGGTTGCTGCAGCATGTCACGAGAGTAGTCATCATGTGCAGAAACGTTGCATGAAATGGTTCTTTTGTCGTGGAAGAGCGACAACATCCTGTTATATGTAGCTGTATCGCTTTTCGGGGATGATCTGCCTACTGCGCTCTGATGCGCGATGACGCCGGCCGACCGCACTCGGGATGTGGGGCCATTTTCCGGAGGCCCGGGCCGATGACCCACCCGGCCCGAGGGACACAGAGTTTGTTTGGTAGGGAAGAACTATGTTATATGAGAACCCTCTTTATTATGCTCTGTACGATCTGACACTAGCTAGAATTTCATAAAATCTGCGTGAGAACAAGCAAATCTCATTCGACCTTTTTCGGCGCCTTAAGCTTCACGGCAGCGAAAGTTGCCAGGCTTGCCACGGACTGCCTCAGGCCCATCCCTTTCTCGGGATCAGCTGTTATATCTTCTTCTTTCTTTCTGTTGGCAAACAAGTACCATAATCCAACGGTAATCAGCGTCAGTCCGGCCGTGACGACGAAGTAGATCCAGAGATAGGGTGATACAGTTTCACTCGAGTCTTCAGGAATCCATCGGAAGAAGGTCATTGAGAAGAGGGACTACAGGCAGTCGGTCAATAAGTCTGTTTCGAAGCTGATCCCGCAATCATTGGGAGACTTACCGCCACAAAAGTCGCAGGAAGAAAGACCATAGTCAGCAACGCTATGGATTTCATCTGGCTTCCATCTTTCTTCGTCGATAGCGCGATATCCATATTGGCTTTGGTGTGTGCCTATAGTTTCTTGTAAGCTTTTTCGGGCACGCTCGTATCACATTCATTTCCCTTCTCCTTACCAATGAAGTAGCCAGGGTCATGCCTTCCATGATCATCTCGCATTCTCGAATCCTCTCGTCACAATCGCTCATGATTTCCTTAAGGCGCTCCTGGATTCTGGCTCCTGATTCTTTCGCCTTTTCTGTGGCTTCGATGCTTGTCAAAGGCTCCCATTTCGCTGGTAGTTCATCAACATGCCGCACCATCTTAGATAACTGCTCTCTCCAATTCTGCAGTCCATTTTTGATATAGTGAATCTGAAGCCGAGGATCAAACACATGTGGCGACCTGGGACGATGTGATATTACTCATGACTCATTTTCATATTGCCCAATAGTCAAGACTGAATTGAGCAAATCTCCAATGTCTTCGTCCACGCTCTCACAACTTAATATACCGATTTTCAAGGCAAGCTGCCTCGGAATTGCTGTCCCATTAATTGATGATAGACTGTAGTACATATTGCCTCCAAGGATGGCCGTTATTTCTCTATTCACTTCCTACTTTCTTTCTATCCCTCAAGGCTTTAAGAAGCATGCCGAGTGTACCCCGACGTTTCTTTTCCTTCCCGGGTTGAGATTCATTGGTCCTTCCATGAGACCCCGGCCTTTCCTCCACATGTGAATCAGAGGCGGACTCAGTATGAGTGATAAGACGATGTCCACTGCCGAGACCTGCAAGCCTAGAAGCTTCATTCGGCTCAGATCCATGTCTGTTCGACTTTTCACCCGTATCCCTAGGATTCCCCTCGCCGTCTCTATACTTCATCGTTTCTGATTCTTGAAGACTTTTAGGCTCTATAGAATCATTGTGCTTGTCGTGGCTTGGATGACCGGCACTATCCAAGAATTGTGGAAGATTACCGGCCTCCGGAATTGCGTGGAGCATCGATCCCTCTTCATCGTTGATTTCGGTCGAGAGCCCATCTTTGCGGGATATTGGATGAGTAGCTTCTTTCTGAGACTCCGAGGCTGAAGGAAGTCGTTCAGTGGAGTCGATAATCGAAGTAGGACTCGCATGAATGTTTTCCATGAATCTTCCAACATCTGCCACGCCGTAGGTATTGTCCTTGCTGCACCTCTCCCGCATATAGGCAAGCTTCTGGACTACATCGGGACACTTTGCTCGACGGTGAGGATTCGGGTTTAACAGAGACTCAAGGACAAAGTCGAGAAGATCATGAAGGTAGGTGGTACATTTGCTGTCGTTATGAAGCTTTTCAATCCACTGTTTCGTCCATTCATCAGCTTTCTAGACTATAACGTTTGGAACAATTGCAGGAAGGGAATGCAACTTACGCGAAGTACCGATGGCTTCAGGGAAGCAGTGTCTAGCTTGATGACGAAAAACGTATCCTCCTTGAGTTCTTGTAACTCCTCGTTGCTCTCATCGTGGAGTCGTTCTTCCACGAAGGTATCATTAACTGCATCAGATCCTTTGATCAACCAGGTGATAAACTCGAGATAGAGACATCCCATGGTCCACATGTCCCAGGCCTGGGAGGTTATGGCCTCCGGTAAATCACATTCTGGTGGCCTGTATGTTGGCGTCCTTGGCATCTCTCTGGCTGGCACCTGAGACCGGGAATGTCTACTATGGAACTGTGCCAAACCAAAATCGGAAATCTTGAGCACTCCACTATAAGCCGCGGGTCCGTCATGATCTTTGAACCACAAAATGTTTTCAGGCTTGATATCGCTGTGTCGCCCGAACGGACGCGTTCTTGCCGAATTGACGAAGTCCACAGAAAAGTTCCGGGGATATGATTCTAAATGGTAATGATGAATCTTGCTTAGTCCAACGGCAAGACCGTAGCACTGATCTGCAGTCCATAAGGCGAGGGGTTTGTCGATGATAGGCCTTGGATTCCACTGCCACAAGTCCCTGAGATTGCCGTCCGCCCATGGGAAGACAAGATGATAGCTACCAGCTTGACAATATGTAGCAAGCAGCTTGATCAAGTGCTGATGAGAGTTGATGGTGAATCTTGTGAGATTCTCAACCTCGTGGTGGAAGTCGGCCTCGTTGGGAGAGATAAGCCTCTTCACCGCGAAATACGCCTCCTTTCTCTGCGAATCCGTTTAGTCTGACGTCCGTGGATGCGCTCCTCCAGAATCAACCTTTTTCAACAAACACTTACTTCTAGCGTATCGAAATTGTGATGAGCTGGGTGAATCTTTACTTTGAAAACGCTTCCAAAGCCTCCCCACTGTGAATTCGAGACACGTTTCTCATCAGATTCCACAAGGGGCAACAAAACTTTGGTTTCCAGTTGGTAATGAAACACCTTGTGAGCTCTATCTGCCTTCGAAAAGAAAGGAGAAAGCAAGTACCACTGATACCTTTCGAAAGTTTCAATGTCAATGTCTCTCCAGGTGTAGAACGCCTCAATGGGATGATGGGGCTCCTCCTTCCGAAGCAACTGTACATTACCGCCTTTGGGCCCGAGCTTTATTTTGAACGGCAAGTCCTTGTCTCTCAAGCCTTCTGCGATGAATTGCATGATGCATTCCGACTTTTGAATCAAGACAAGAATGACAAATAGCTTACAGCCCGATGTGTACTTCTCTGTGGATGCTGTCCCAGCTTCCATACGATGTTTCTTGCAGACGTAGTCGCTGATTGCTTTCAAATCTTTCTTCATGGTTGAGTCGTACTTTGAGTTCTTAAGCTCCTGAATGACGGACTGTCGGGTGACAAGATCTCCGAGAACGTCGTTTGGGATGAAAAAGCCTTTCTCTTCGTCCGGGTGATCAATCGCTTTAGCTCTCAGTTCTCTTCTGAGATCGAATCGATCTGATTCCGTCAGAAAATGTGGCCGACTCACACTGAGCATGTGTTGGATAACTTGATCATGCTCTATGGGGGGCGTTTTGGATCGGGCGAAGCCCAATTCCAGATCGCCAAGGACTTCGTCACTATCTCCTTCAAAGTAAGGGACGGTATGCTGGTGACTGTCTTCCTCGTCAGAGTGGCTTGGTTCGGAATCGAAGACCAAAGATACGTCATCAAGATCGCCGACCGATATATCAGGTCTAGTATGTAGACCAAAACCGTAGCGAACTGTGCTTGGTTTACTCGACAGGTCACTGACGATGGAACCGCGTTCTTTCCCATTATCGTCCGGGTCCATTCGAATACCGAGGAAACAAAAGCTTTCCAGATGGGCTGCGATGTGTTTCGTCAGGTTGACGTATTTTGTATCTCGCGGTTTGTGTGAAGCTGATGCAAGAGGCTTGAATGCGGTGCGTTTAGCTGGTTGGTTGATGCTATCTGTCGAAAACCGAACGCTGGAAACTTTGTGACCTTTTGAGTGCTCGGGAGAATCTCCTGACGAGGTTGCGGCTGACTTCTTCGGGGCGTCCCTCTCGCTAGACTGCGGTGGAAGCTCATCCACGTGCGTGTTACACAGAGGACATTCATACTTGTTGCGCTTTCCGGTAGTATCAGCGGAAATATGTACGTATTCTGTCCAGAAGTTCCCATGTCGAGATTCCATGTGTGTTCGCCAGCTGTGATGATCTTCGAATTCTTCTGGTGGATATGCGCACTCCTCGGAAAGACAAACAAAAGGCTTCAGATCTTCTCTGACATGTTTTCTGTTTAGGAACAATTTCTCCGATTAGATAGGAACGCACAACTG